AAGTGTCTAAATATCTATACCGCGCACCGGCGTAAAAAAAGCAAAAATACGTGTCTAATTATTTTTCGTCCTCTACAATATAAACTCGAAAAAAATCGAAAATGATCGTACAAGCGCGGTCACTTTCCTTGTTAGATGACTTTATTTTTGTTTTGTAGAAGCTCTTGATGATAAGTTCAGTTTGTCTCCTGTGTTACTAAAAAGACACAAAAAAAACAATTGTCACAATTATACACAAATTGACAAAAATTGTCACAAATGAGCAAAAACTGGTAAAACTGATTTCTTTCAAATTTTGACTCTGTTAGTTTGTAGGGACATAAAACTGAGTCCATTTGTGCGATTTAAAGATTTCTCTGATCGACAGCTCTCGAGAAAATCGGGTTCGAAGTTGCAAAGCTTTTTGTACAATTATGAAAACAGATTGCACCTGATGAAAATCATTCTCCTGATTTAACTTCTGATGATCCATTATTAAATGTACTTATTTTGAGAAATATAACTTTTCTTTTCTGTAAAACAGATCAGTTCGATTTTCAGTTGGATCGAGCGCATTCTGTGACCGTAAGAGTTGGAGAGCTGAAACTTATTATTTTTTCCATAAAAATTGTTGCTTCACATTATGGATTGAATACTTTTTTCAGGTTATCAATAGCTCTCTTGATTTTGGCCATCAGCCTTAAAACTTTTCGCCTCAGTATTTCGAGAATGCCTCACATGCGATCATCATTCTTTCACGAAACATTAGAAAGCTAAAACAGTATATGACTGAATAACTAATAAGATCTGTGTTTGAGTAGCCATTTAACTTTATTTGTAAGATCTTGAATGTTTTAACATTTCGATATTTTATAGTTCGTAATACAATCTAACGTTTGAAGTAAGAATGATGATTGTAGGTGATGCCATTCTCGAAATATTGGGGCTCAAAATTTTAAGGCTGATGGCCAAAATTAAGGAAACTGTTGATAAATTGAAAAAGTGTTCCGTCATTGATATGGAGCAACAATTTTTATGGGCAAATACTAATAATAATAAGTTTCAGCTTTCTAACTCTTATGGTCACAGAATGCGTTCGGTTTAACTGAAAATCGAAGTGATCTTTTGAACAGAAAACAAAAATTTTGTTTCACTAAATAAGTGTATTTTATGGTTGACCATCAAAAGTTACATAAGAAAAATGATTTTGATAAATAAATCTGGTCATAAAACTGTACAAAAGGCGATCGAAGTTTCAACTTTGACCTCGATTTTCTCAAAAATTAACGATTAAAAAGATTTTATAATAACACAAATGGGCTTAATTTTCATGTCTCTACAATTTTAATACACACTCTTTCAGTCTATACAATGTATTTTGGTTGTTTTGGTTTTTTAGTCCAACTGCTAATTTTTATTTGATTTTTTTCATTGGCAATCTTTCTGGAAATTGTCTTTGTAGATGTAACGATTAGACCGACTTCAAATGTTATCTTGCCACAAAGAAAATATTACATGCAATTAGCCTCAGTCCTTGTGCAAAATTATAAGAATGAAAATATATTAGCTCTTGAAACTTTTAATAGTTTATTCATGAACATCAATTTTAAACAGATACAATTTTTAACGTACAGATGCTTTTTTCAGTTCAATCTGTTTTTCAATCATTTTTATAGCTTCAGCTAAACTATTTGAATTCCTCATGCTTTGTGAAATGGCTTCAACTCGATTTTTAATTTCCTTGTCAGCAAATACTTTCTCAATGCAATCGAGAAAATAATCTTCATCAAGATCATATGGGTTGACACGAAAACCGATTTTCTTATCAACAACTCGCTGTGCATTGTCAAATTGATCGTAAAAATAGGGAAATACAATCATTGGCTTTCCATAGTAAAGTGTTTCCATAAAAGTATTGTTTCCTCCGTGTGTTATAACCAGATCAACACTTTGAATTACCTTAAGTTGATTCACGAAATTTTCTCCCCACATGTTGTCAGCCAATTTGAGTTGATCACCTCGAGCACCTTTAGAGATGATAAATTTATGAGGTGATTTAGCTAAAATATTAATAAACTTTTGCATCATGACAGTATCAGCTGAACCCAATGACCCTAAAGAGAAGTAGATAAGTTTTCCAGGCTTGTCTCTCAAATTTTCTGGGACAACAAAATCAGTATCAGAATCAGGTTGACGGATGAATGATTCAACTCGATGCCAATTGGGTTCAATTGGTCCACATTCAGTGTAGTCTAAGGCAGCTGGATAATGATAAAAGCCAATGGTTTGAGGATTGTCAACATATTTTGCTGGATTAAATCTAGCTTCTTTAAGACCAGCAGCATCCAAGTCTTTATTAACATTTTCAATGAGTGTAGCATGGCCCTGTCGATAGATCTTTCTGAATTCATCCCAATTGGACTTGTCACTATTGACAGAGTAACCAGAAAATGGTGGAGGCCCTAATGGATATAATACCAATGGATTCAGTGAGCAAAGTGGAAACCAGAGGATTGGATTATTGTACAAAGGTGGTGATGGAGACACGAAATCAATAATCATCGCATCAAATTTAACACTTTCATCAGAGATTATCCTATCCAAAGCTTGATTAATTACATCGTAATAGACAGAGAGATTTTTGAAACCTTCGTCTTCATTTGGAGACTTTGTAAGGAAACGTTTCACTGGATCTTTGCGAAATTTGTCAGCGAGCACATCAAGCCAAGTGAGCGTTATCTCCTCTAATTTTACCTTCCATATTGATTCATCAAACGGAATGAATGAAAATCCTCTTTTAACAGCCATATGTCGATATTTTTCACGGTGAACAAAACAAACTTCATGTCCAGCAGCTTTTAAGCCTTCAGAAAATCCTAAAATTGAATTGATGTGTCCAGCCCTGTGAAAGAAACAAAGAATGGGTTAAAGCCCTTTGTGTATAAGATATTAATGAAAACAAGTTGAAGTTGAGCTGATTAACAACCAATATTTACAACATATTTAGATTGAAAAATGCTTACGCATCGATCGCTGTCACTAGAAAACGGTAAGATGGCATATTTAGTTTATAGTTAATTTATTTATAACACAGGTTAATTTGAACTGATTCGCAATGTTGACTAACGTATTATTATATTCAACCGGCAACTTTTATAAGGCAATTGCAGAGACATCTGCCCATGACAATTGTTTATAAGGAGTAAATTCTGAGTACATCGATTTCAAAATCAAGGACGAGGAACATTTTATCACAATGAATCTCAGTCCAAATGTTATTTTGTAATTTTTGCACCTTTCAAATTAAGCACAGTTTGATAGCTTAAACGAACTTGTTTTCAAGTGCTTGATTTATTGCACAGATTAAGATCCTGAAAGATTAATAAAAGGATAAAGTTTCGATAAGATAATTCCAGATGATTTTATTTTGATTTCGATTTTGTATTAAAATAGAAGCTCTTGACGTTATGCTTTTAAGCAAAAAAAGTCCATTTTTCTCCTGTTTTACAGGGCATCCTGTGTGATTTTTTCAAGACTTATAGTCATCTAACAAATAATTTGTAAGTCAAATAATTTTCTATTTTGGATATTCCAATAATAAGATAATAATTTTTAACGTTATTACAATGTATAATGTCTAACAATCGAAGGATTATTTTTAGTCGTTGAATTAAAATCGATTAATGAGTTGCTTACATTTCAGGCTACTTTTTTCAACCCGTTGCCTTATTTTCCAATGTGGTGTTGTTAAACCTAAATCAATATAAGGCCATTTTTTGGATAATCAGTGGTTATCTTAATATAAGCTTGATTGGTAGAATTGAAATCAATGTAAAATAAAAAACAAAATAATTTCATGGTTTCTAAGAGCTTTTGAATGGAAATTGATAGACTGATCAAAATTGTATAGTCAGAATTTTTATAAATTTTAAAATTAAAAACATCAGAGCTTACTTTTTATCACCAGTAATCACTTTAGGTTTCAAAGAGTAAGGTAACTCATTACCTTACTCTTTGTTAGGTTTAAAACATCAAGAAAAACTTATGTTTACCAGAAAATCAAATTTGGAGCCAAAACCAATTTAACCACGTGACAAGCACACCACAACACCGTGTTGTCAACACGTTAAATGAGCTTCAATACCAGTAGTTAAGTTTTTATTTATTCTGTTGAATTGTTTTGCTATTAGCTGTTTATTGTTTGGTGATTTTAACTTTTTATTAGTTATTTAAGAAAATAAATTGCTCAAAATGTCCAAGCTAATGATTAAACAGTATAAAACTGTCCATAAAAATTTGGTAAGTGGAAAAATCCGGTCTGACTCTCTGTTTAAAATGAATCTAAGTATCTCATCTTTTATTACTGTATCTTTCTAATTTTTAATCTGATTTTACATTTTAATATTTAGATCAAGGAATCAGCTGACCTTAAAACTATTGCTGCTGCTGTTCAACTGTTTAAACAATGTGTAGCACAATTTGCTGAAGCTGGTAGTGATGATTATGAGGATGAACCAATAAACCCAGAATTACTTCAAAATGTTATTCAAATGTGTATGATTGACCTTCTTCCAGCAATTCATAAATTTCTCAGATTACCCTCACCAACTGCTAAAAATGAAGAAAGTCCTGATACTAAACCATTAGATCCATCAAAAAGCAAAAAATGGGCAAAGATGGTTGGATGTATGAAAGTTTATTTGAGCTCTTTGCTCAAGTTGATGGACACAGTTGCTCAAGACTCTGTGTTGACCAAACTACTCCGTCATACACTCTATTTGATACCTTTCTTTTCGCAATATTTAAATCTCTCTAAGAACTTGCTCAAAGTAAGTAGAACTATTCTGAACTAATCATCAGGGATCTAACTTCTTTTTTGCTTACAGAGAGTCATGGTCATTTGGAGTCAAGATGATGAGAAAAATCGGGTTCTGGCTTTCTTGATAATTCTAAGAATAATAAGACGGCATGATTCCACAATGATTAGTTTCATTATGAAGGTATGGATGACCGTTGTGAACGATTCAATATTCTAGTAAACTAATGATCAAATCCAATATTTTCACTTCAGAAACTTTACCTGGCTTACATTAAAAACTGCAAACTAGTTTCCAAAGAGACATGGCCTATGATAAATTTTATGCAACAGTCTCTTGTTGAGCTATATTCTCTTGATCAAGGGGTTGCTTATCAACATGCCTTCATCTTCATCCGACAATGTGCTATTGCTCTTCGAAATGCTTCTGCATCAACCGAACAGGTAATTATTGAAGCTGTTAGTCAACCATCTCTGAGTTATATTTTACTAAATGTTTTTGTTTATCGCAGGATGCATTCAAAACTGTATATAACTGGCAATACCTTCAATCATTACTTCTTTGGTCACGTTTGCTTACGAATTTACACCCTAGTGAAGTTTTAAAGCCACTAATTCATCCATTAGTCCAAGTTTTCATGGGAACTATAAAGTAAGTTACATTCATCTGTCCAGTTATGTATAGGATTGTCAATAAACATTTTCTCAATAACTTAATCTTGTTTCCTCAGGCATTTGTCGGTTGCTCGCTATTTTCCTTTGAGATTGCATATTGTTAAAGCTTTGATCCGACTATCAACCACGACAAACACTTTTATACCTGTTCTACCCTTAATTACTGATGTAAGTTCATTTCTTGCTACTATTATGTCGGCTCATATTGTCAAGCATTGCTAAATGATAGTTTATCTTTTTTATTTAGGTCCTTGATGCTACCAATTACGAGAAGAAGTTTAAAGTTACTCAAAAGAAAAATAAAATCGATTTTGATTGTTTAACTAGAGTTTCCCAAAATTTAACGGACGAGAAATTATTTGTCGATGGGTGCATCAACAAATCTCACGAGTTATTGCTTGAATATCTTTCTCATCAATCTCATTCTATTGCTTTCCCTGAACTATCATATTTCACACTGCGTAAAGTAAGTTGGGCCTAAAAGTTTTAATCTATCGATCTAACTTACTTCTTTGTCTTTAATAAATTCTAGATAAAAAAATTTGTCAAGAAATGTACTGTTGCTTCGCATGGTAAAATGATGAAAAAGCTGGCTGAAAAAATCGAAGAGACTTCAAAATTAGTTGAAGAAAAAAGGCAACATGTTAATTTCTCGCTGAAAGATCAAAACGCTATTGTAAGTAATAAATTTACGATCTCCATTTAGAGTTTTACTAATTTCCACTTATTTACTATTCTAGAATCAATGGCAAAGTGAAATTAAGGATAAAGGAACGCCTTTATCTAAATATTTAATAGAATGGAGAAAAATGAAAGAAGCTGAATCAAAAGTTGAGCAAAACCATGATGATGATAATGATGATAACGATAACTATAATGATGATGACGATGAAATTATGAACGAAGACAACGAAGAAGATGACGAAGATCAAGGAGATAGTGAATCAGAGCCCGAACACACACCACCTCCGAAGAAAAAGAAGAGAAAAAATTAATTTAATTTTTGTCTCACAAATTGTCCATTAAACGTTTCGTATGTTTAGAAATTGTTACGATAATAAAATATTTTGGTGACACGATTCTCTATCTATTGGTTCAATAAAAACTACTGGATTGTATATGAATTTAATGCACAAAGAGTCGAAGATTGTATTTATTTTGCACTTTTAAAACGTGTCTCTACGCAAGACTTATGTACAAGAAATGTCATCCATTTGTAGTTTTTGAGATCTATATTTAAAAACAATGAATGGTTATTAAGAAAAATCTTTTGCACATCTAAAGCCAACATTGCTCGAACTGGAATCAGGAGTGTTGAATTGACGAGCAGCACAACGATGCCTATAACAAACAGATTTAATGCACATAAAAGAACCGCCTTTGCGAACCTTATCTTTTCCTTCTGAGGGTCCGGTTGGGTTAATTGCTTTTTCATTACTAAATTTAGTTGACCACCAATCATTAGTCCATTCCCAAACGTTACCAATCATATTTTTCAGACCATACTTATTAGCAGGAAATGAATCAACCGGAGCAGTTCCTTTAAAACCATCTTCACCTAAAAGTTGAACCCACAAATGAATGTTATTGAAAGATTGCTGAGTTTTTTAAACGAAAGTTTGGTTTGTTAAATTGGCTTTGTGATAATCAAACACACACAATACAAAACACAAACTGGGCTCTTCAAATCTATTGATATTTGCATCTTAATATTACCTGTATCATTGAACGGAAACTCTCCTTGCCAAATGTTTGTATAATGCTTTCCGTGTGGATTCAATTTGCTACCCCATGGATATAGACGCCGAGACAGTCCCCCACGACAACCATATTCCCATTCTGCTTCGGTCGGTAGTCGTTTACCTAACCATTTACAATAGGCAATTGCATCGTTCCATGAAACATGAACTACTGGATGATCCATTCGAGCCTTAATTGAGCTTTTAGGGCCTTCAGGGTGCTTCCAACTAGAACCATTGACTGGTAACCACCAAGGTGCAGTCACCACTGCCTGTTTTATTGTACTTAAAGTTTCTTCATCAATAAGCTTCTCGAATACAAATGAGTTTCCAAACTTCTCAGCTTCAGTTACATAACCAGTGGCTTCGACGAAAGCTTGAAATTGTTCATTACTGACTTCTGTTTTATCCAACCAAAAAGGATCAATTGCAACTTGTCTTTCAGGACTTTCTCCGTCTTCTGGAAACTCTGGGTTGTTAGTGCCCATTAAAAATATCCCACCTTCAAGTACCACCATTGTGACATTATCTTCATCAGTTAGCTTTACACACATGTTATTTGAGCTGTCTTCACGGCAAGATTCTTCAAGAGGACTATTTGACGTACGAGATAACTTGGAACAGCCACAATCACAGAAACCATCACGAGCATTTGATATTAAAATGAAAAAGATCAAACATACTTTTACTAAAAGTTGAGTTGGGTCACTTATTGAGCTGCACTTCCTAAAATTGTAAAATGATACAAAAATTCACATGTTTATGACAAATGACAAATTTTTGACAAGTCTGAAGTCAAAGAGCCTTTTCTATTGTACTAGATCAAATGAATTTTAAAATACAGTCAATAGATAAGTCATTTATGAGAATGAAAATTCTTAAGATCAGATTTGAAAAAGGCCAGGATAACGATGTCTTACCTGAATATTAGCTTAGTCATATTATATTGGATTAGTTTTCTGGACACATTAAGATCAATTTTTATGACTTGTAATAATCTGCTATGTCTGTAAAAGCTTGATGTTGATTTTGATTTTTACGTATTAACTGGAGAAATTATGATCGAGTAGTGAGATAGACATACACTGGACATTACGTCTGTAAACTCAATGAGTCAATATCTTTATTCGATACCAATAGCTTATCATATCAAGACAACCATCAACAAAATGACTGGCAGAAATTATCAGATAGTAATTGTGATTTTAAGCGTTCATATGCTTGTATCAACACGGTAAGACTTCGACCTTTAAGGCTAGTTTTGGATAATAGATGCATAATTATCTGGTTAAGATTAGGTTTCACAAAGTATCACGGTATCAAATAAAGTAGAATTACAATCAAAGAGTAATAAATATCACAATGGTTTTCTTTAAGAAGATGATTAGATAGGTAAATCATTGAGTTGTTCATTTAGTTTCGGATCGTTAAGGTTTTTCCTATACCAACCAGAGACATCTCGTTGCGGATAAAATGATTTATACAAGTTGATACCAGGTAAAGGAGAAAGCATTCAATCATAAGAGATGTATCGAAGACCTTTTGATTAGTGAGCTATAATTAAAAGCTAGTAAACAATTAGGTTCAATGTGCACACTTTAAATTAACAATATCAGTTGAATAATATAATATATTAAAATACCATACAATTTATTAAAATCAAATAAGCAAAACAGAGTACGTGTAAAATAAGCTGTAAAATGGTAAATTAGTACAGGTAAACAAATGTGGAAGCTTTATTTGATGATAAATTAAATATTAATAGTTTATCGCTTGATTTGTATCAAGAAATGTATCAAATTAAATAAAGCTGATATTTTTTCAATACAATATTTCATTTCTTTGAAAAACTTTTAAATCTAAACCTAAGATTCAACAACATTAAACTTTAAAATTATTATAAAACCCCTAAAATTAGCGATCGATGCAATAATTAGCTATCAAAAAATTAAAATTAATTTAAGTATTCTTGTCAGTCGTTTAAAAATTTTAATTTAAATAATAATGATGTTTCGTGCTGTTTTGAATGAGATTTGGAAACCAAAGCTGGAAATTTCAACCATTCGTATTAATTGTGAAAGCTACTGAAATAAAGGTAACAAGTTTGATTTGTATTTTGATTTCAGTTTATTTGGTTTTTTGGTATTGAAATGTTTTTAAGCATATATCAACAGTTAAAGAATTTCATTCTTTTATATATAACAGCTATATACTTTTTTTGAAGGTATGAGCATCTGACGAGTAATTCGTTTGGAATAGAAGGGTAAGAAAAAATGACTCTGATCAAGTAAACAGGTTTATCCGCTTATTTATGATTTTGTTTTTTCTTATCATGTAATCGCAGATGGTAAGGACGGAAGCAGTTAAAAGCCCAGGATACAGGATCGAGGAGACATAAACATAGGAAACGGTAAAGTGGAAGTGAATAACAGCAATGTCAGAATCTGAGTATCAAAGTTTATCCATGGTATCCACCTCGTGATCCACCACCGTAACCTCCTCGTGAGCCACCTCCGTAGCCTCCTCGGGAACCTCCGTGTCCACCACCATAACCGCCTCGGGAACCACCATGTCCACCTCCGTATCCACCTCGGGAACCTCCGTGTCCACCACCGTATCCACCGCCATATCCGCCGCGGGAACCTCCGTGTCCACCGCCGTAGCTGCGTGAACCTCCATAAGCTGTTGATAAATTAACAATTAGTATTAGAAAAATTAACAGATGATATGGATATAGAAGCTTGAGCAAAATTAATACTTACATCGTGATTCAGCAGCTTGAAGAGTATCTTCTTCGCTGTAGACTGATGCAACGGTCAGCATGAGGATGAAAGCACAAGCAATGAACATAGTCTTCATGGTTGGTTTTTTAGTTGGAGTTGAATAAATTCAAAAAATGATAAAAGAGATTGTTTGTTGTTAACGTTGTAAGTTGGTAAACGAATGTGATGATTCTCAGACATTTCGTGAACCTTTATATACAAAAATTTTGGTTCATTCTCATACCATTGGCGATAAAAGGTACAATCATCAACAACAACAACAACAACAAAAACAAAAAGGCCCTGATTCATCAGAATTAGATCCCGCCTCATGTCCTCTCTAACTTTCACCTTAATTTTTTACTTTCTCATCTTTTCTCTTCAATTTAAAGGGTATACCATTTTATTTACTTCAAAAAGGAGGAGAAAAGCATTTGATTATTTACCAACGTCAATGGTTTAACGTTCATTAGCTGTTCACTTAGCTTTCGATTAAGATGGTAAAGATCAAGATTAATCTTACTGACCAAGTAATCAACATTTTCGCACTGACTTTGGCGAATAATTCAACGCTTTTCTCCGCCTCTTTTGGATTGGATTAAACAGAACACCCTGTACTCTCTCATCTTCATCAATCTTTCTCTTCATTCGCACTTAATTGTTGACTCTAACTTTGGTAAATAAAGGAGAAGAATGTTGAAATTAATTGAATGGTGAGATTTGAAGGGAAAGGTTAATCATCAGTAATCAGACTGTACCTAAATTAAAACCTGTTTGCTAATTTTCAAAGTTATTATCATCACTGTTAATGCTTTTTTAGCTTTTCTTGAATCACTTTCGCTTGTTTGCCTTAGTAAAGGCTTTAATATGGTCAATAAAAATCTAGTCAATTGACGTTGATTATTGTTAATCGCAGCCATCATCATGTTAATTATATTCAATTGCAACCTTTTCTTATAATATACTAATTAATTTTTGTAATAATTTCGCCTGCAAATCGTGATGATTCGTTTTTTAACAAAAATTCAAAATGTTAGCCCACAAAAGTGCAAACCCTCGAGACATGTTTTCAAAAATGGAGGCTTACAATGGTGCCTATGGTTACCGTTTTAGCTTTTTATATTAACATTATCATTACATTAAATCAATTTTCGTACAATTGCTAATTTTTATCTCTTTATTTTTGTTCAAAATTAACTCAACCTGTTTTTCTAGTTGTTTTGATTCCATTTAAAAATAGCATTGGATTATCACAAAGAAACAGAACAGAGATTTGAAAGCTCTTGTGAGATGGAAGTCCGTTACCTTTTGTTTTCGTCAAGCCTTCTCCTACGCGCCAGTGTTACACTATTAATGTTGCCAATAATATTTATTTTTCAATCAACTATTGATTGATTCATGGTCGAATCCAGCATTGACCAATCGTCCTTAGATCAAATTTTATCAATTGTTAATTTAAAGGTAATTTTCGTATTTGTTTTCTTCAATTGCATTCTTTCTTGTTATTCATTCAATTTTTTCTCTTTCTTTTTTTCGATCAGCTTTTGTTGTTGATATTTAGATTAAGATAGCCTTATCCCTGGCCTTACATCGATTGCAATTACTGGCCAGTTGAGTTAATTGACATTGGATGATTCTAGAAATTCAACAATTGTTTTCAAGACTATGGTAAAATTGAAAGTGGATTCAAAAATAGAATTATCAACTTGTGAGTGTTCAAATTAAAGCTGTTTAAATATGATGAATAATAATTCTGTTTACTTCGTAACTATGAAAATGGGACACTTTAGGAATAGGACATTAAATTTGCCATTTTTTGAATGTTTCTATTATACAATCCATTGTTGAGTAATCTATGAGGCACATCTCAAAAAAGTATCGCATTTGCAGTCGCAAGTTTTGAATATCTGCAATTTTGGCCATCAATCGATAATGGTAGTCTGAGGCAACACACGGTGATTTACAATTCATTTCCAAATATCGTCGTAAAATGTAAATGTAAGTGTATTGCTCTAGTCTGTGAAAGAAAATAAAATTAATATTAGATTATTAAATATTGATTAAAACATAACGCTTGTATTAACCTTATGTATTCTTTAAATTTGAGATCAGGCAAATCTGGATTGAAGATAACAATCAAATAAAGAAGAGATCTAATAGTTAAATCCCTCCGCCATCGATCTGGAAAAGTCTCAATAATACGAACAATGCCGTTGTGCAAAGAAGGATCCATACGGAAAACGTCTCTTCTACTAATCTTGATACTTGAACACTGGAAAAAAATATGATGAAGTTAATAAATATAATTGGAAAATATTTAAAACAGAAGCGATGGTTTGAATGGTCTTTCTAAAGTAAACTTACAGTCCAGCAATCGGTTAAATAATCATAGGTGAGGACACTTTCCAAAGCGATTATATCGAAAAATATATTTGACAAAAGAGTGATTTTGTCCTCGAATAGCAATTTCTTGTACGATCGTACGTCTTTACATGCCAGCGCAAGCATTCCAGGACATGCAGCATCATCATTGCCACCCTGTTTATAGCAGACGGGTTCACGAAGGGCTAGAGCATGAAAAGCTACAACCGCTTCTTTCATTGCAATTGATTGGAACTCATCAAGAGATATTTGGGTTGCCAGGAACTCTGATTTCAGGTTTATTGGTGTATAATAAGCTGCCAAAATTTTCTTTGCCACTTTTGGTTTCCATGGTTCTTTAACAATTGAAGTTTCCGTACATAGTGAAAGTATTGACTTAAAGCCTCGATCTTTTGAATTTGATTTATTGGATTGATGATATGTGGGATTCAAATGGAGTTGCGAGCTCGGTGCAGCTCTCTTTAAACAATTGAAAGGTGCCCTTGGAGACGGTGTGCTTGGGGACGGTGTACTGTTTTGTATTAAATGTCGTGTAAAATTTGTCTCCATTGGAGTAGAAGCATTGGAAATGTCAGAAAAGAATGAAGATGAAGATTTTGGTCCATTGTTGTTAATTGACGATGGCGAAAATAGCTGAAAGTCATCACGAACTGAATCACTTTGTAAGTTGTTACTTTGATAATTTTGAGAGACATCATTAGAGGTGATTTGGTTATTATACTCCGGAGATGTTTCTCTTAATCGCTCAAAAGAGTCATGTCCCAAATCCATATTATAATCATTGGTATAGACTGTGTATTCTGGTGCACTACCGATATGGTTATCGACCGTGTCTTCAATGGGGCTCAGTGAATTTAAAATGTTCTCCACATCGTTTGGACTTATAGATGGAAATGTTGACAAAGATGCTACCTCTTCCATCCTTTGCTCCAGAGAAGCTGGTTCAGTTGGTGATAAAGTTTGCTGTTGAAAATAGCCCAAAGTTTCATTCACATCCATATTTTTGCTTGAAAAATCGTCAAGTAAGAAAGAGAAAAATCTGAAAACGAAGCAATATTCGAGAACTCTGAACACACAATGAGATTATTGTTACCTAGATATCATGAAAATAAGTTTTTATGTGTGTCGTTTAATAAATAATATAATCATTATTAGTTATCATCTGGTTACATTTATCTTGCATTTTCCCTCAACTTGAGATTTACACCCCAGATTTGTTGGTTACAATTGAGAAAGTATCAAACGATTGAAAAAAACATCGCAAACATGGCCTAGTTTCTCCCTTTAATAAATACATGTATGACTATCATAAATGACTATTATCCTCACTCTGTTTTATCTGATACTTTTTAATCTCTTCCATGTTTCTAATCTCAGTTTCAGGTTGATTATTATGGAATACTTTACCAGAAGACTAATCGAGCAACGTTTCATCATAATATCAACCAGTATTCATCAAAAGCTATTAGCTGCCTAGCATTACCTTTATCTAACCAACCTTTGAATTTTCTCTTATCTCATATCAACCAGAGTTTATAAATGATACTTTTAATCAAGCTGTTCAACTATCTAACTTCGCAATTAACTTACACAACTTGTTGATTGCAACCTTCCTATTTCCTAGAAACATTACCGAGTTTCCTCGAGTTTTCCAGCCCCGGGCTTTTTGGTGAGTAATTTCACTTTCGATTCGCTGCTGACACTCTGCGATAAGCACCAAGGCTTAAAATGACTAAAACAAAAAAAAGATAACAAAAAGGTATGGATGTAACGAAGAAATGGAATGGGAACCGGTTTTAAATTCATTTTCGCCTCTTTTCTGTATGAATCTTTCAGAAACCTGAATTCAGAGAAGCTCTGACTATTTTTGGTGGTTCCAAGCATGGCTTTCATGCAGTTTCCTTAGAACTGGACTTTTATTATTGATTATTGGTCTTGTCCATCCATTTGCGGCCAATTTAATTCTGAGACTGAAATAAGTGATGAAGAAGTCATGATCACATGTCAACTGAAGCACATTATAACCAGAATATCAACAAACCCATCATTTGATTAGAGGGTAATAAAGAGGAACAATAAAATGAACAAAATAAACAACAAATGTAAAAGCCTTGGCCATGATTATTAAGCTTCACTATTTTACCATTAAATTGATGGACAAAACATAATCAACCCTCAAAAAGCGTAATTAACTGGATAAATAAGGAGCCAAATTGCCTCGCCAACATTAGGGAAAGCAACATTTACAATGGAAAATTAAAATTAAAATTGGAACAAAGTTAAAATTTTCTGTTGGATGAAAAAAGTGACCAGTTAATCATTTCTCAAAAACAACCTGGAAACGTTAATTTCGGTCAAGGTTGATGCTAAAAGCTTGCCTTCAACCGATTCAATTGTTGTTACTGTACTTTAGATGTCTGCAAGAATGGACGAAAACAAGTAAATCTGATAAGGTAATAATGATTTTCCCAAATTAACTCAAATAGAGGTTCCATTTTCATGCAAAAAAGAGTTTCTCATATTTACTTTTTTCTTGTTTTTTTCTGCAAATTCAGGCAACTCATTATCATTGGAATTATCCTTTCCCAATCGAAAACAGATTTCTATTCCAATCCAATTTCAATCACATGAATTCAGGATAAAGCTGATGATTTAATCAAATCTGTTTACATACTAATGTTGAACATTTTACGGACGAGACGGATTATCCAGGAAAGATCATCTTTTTTATCGTTTATTTGGTTCGTTAAATTGTTATTGATCAAGAGCATGTTTGAAGGTCAATTGCAAAAACTAAACAAATTGCTATTACATGAAAGATTAAATATTAATCAAAATAAATTTGTCATTTACAATGCTAACAGTTTAGTAGATAAATTTGCATTTGCACTTTTAGTTTTTGTACTTGACCAGTATTTGATTGGCTTTAATAAATCCGAAAGGATGAGTTGAATTTTTCATTAACAATTTAAAATGAATGAGCTGTCTAAGCTGTCTGACATTGTAAAATTGTAAATTAATGTAATTAAATTGTATATTTTAAGTATTCTGATGGATGAGTTAAATCTGTCAATGGCCTTATAGCTTTTCAAGTTGATTTCCTTATTACCTCATGGCTGCTACCTGTATCAAGATGATTAATTTAATAATATTTTCAAATGTTGATTCTTCTAAATTTATAAAAATATTCAATGAAAATTATAGGCAATAATTGATTACCTTGACTAAATAACAAGCAGATTATAAGAAACAAAATGATTACTTTTGAAACTACTTCGCAATCAGTTTCTTTAATTGTCAAAAATATCATAAATTGTTTCTGATTAGGTGGATTGTCACCAGTAAAAGATGTACCTACAGAAAATCCTTGTATCGGCACAATTTGTTGGTGTCTTTTGTGATTCCAGAATTTAATAGTCCAGGAAACTTTTCAGTCAGCGATTCAATAGCCATGGATCATGACAATTTAATCTCTGGATCATTTGCCATGGATTTGCTGTTCAATAAGACTACGTGGCAATTGTAAGTGCTATCTGCTTGTAAACACAGCCTAAAAGAAAAGAAAGAAAAGAAAAGGTGATACGGTTAATACAAGATTAGCACTAAAATCAAGGAATTTTCCATCTTCGATCTGTCATTTCATGATTTGATTTGTCAATTTCTTACCCTAATCTTTAAGATGATCACACTTCTACAACACTTTCATTGATCTTCATCATTGATATCATGAAAAGCTAGAGCTTGACAATGGCCTCCAATAATAGTTAACAGGATAGTCGATGTTCAATTGAGTTTTAATTAACCGTCTCGATTTTATTAACATTTCACCTTGTTACAGGAATAAGGATACCGCTAATCCCAAACGGATTCACTCGAACATATGAAGAATGAACCCGGACATCGCACTCGTAGTGCAACGCCATAAATTACGGTTTCCGCGACCGTTTACAAATAGGTGAAAAATAATACAATGGTTTTTCGACAAAATAAAAATAATGTAGGAAAGAAAAAACAAATTGAATTCAATTGAAAATAGAGGAAAAATTAATAATAGTTAAGAGAAAAGGAAAGAAGATTTGTGAAGAAAAGTTAGATTATTAGAGCTCCATTTTTCTTTAGATCATTGTACTTCTCCAAATCATCTAGAAAGGTAAATAAAGCGTGTAAGATTCGTATTCGTTCTCGAATTGATTTTTTCTCCAAGTTAATATCCGTGATTCCATAATGTAGTTTGATTTCTTTTAAATTTTCGCATGGTTCCATGAATATATGTCTCCAGGTTAGCTTTGTTCCGCATGTGTGTGTACCAGATGGAGGAAAACCAAGCTTTTTAAGTAAATCATAATACATAACGTCTCCAATCCTGCCAAAATTGTCGGTAAGTCGTAGCATGTTGGGGGCAAGAAAAGTGAAAAAATCGGATTTGTTCAGTCGCCAGTTAACTATTTGATTATTGATCCAGATGCGTTGTTGCTTGAGCCACCAACTGGTCGGTACGAAATCAGGTTCAGTAGGCATTGAATTGAATTCAATTCCAGGTTTAATTACACTCAGCTCTTCGTTACACATGGACCAGGTCCATTTCATATCTCTGATGCCCCATAATAAGGCATGGGTATCTCTCACATAGGGAGATGTACCCGTAATATAAGTCCCTAACTCCTTGTGTATAAAAATGTGGTCAGATTCTTGGTTAAGTACCTTATTGACTTGACAATGGACATGACAGAGAAAAGCATGATAGCGTGACAGTATTTTGAAACAGTGTGTTTGTGAATCATTCTCCAGACGGAAGAATGAAGATGGGGTTTGAATGTGCCAAGAATGTCTAGTAATTTTATTAGTTTTGCGGTAGAGAATATCACGGATATGGTTATAATATTTCGGTGGAGACGGTGTGGTTTTTGAGCAAGTCTGTTTTCCATAAGTTTTTAAGGTAATGAGATCGGGAGGTAAAATTTGTTTAAATTGATGAGAGAGTTGAGGATTGTCACTGCACCATTTTATGACTTCTAGCCACATCTGTACCAGGGGGTGGTCTATGCCATAGATGACTTTAAGGGCTGTAGAACTGATTGACCAGATACCAAGATAATTAATTGTAGGAGTAATAAGCGAGAAAGTCGAGTCCAGCAAGTTGTTAGTGGTAGTATTCTTGAAAATACTGTGTCCAATACAGTTGAATTTAGGGAGTAGGAGGTTGTTCAAAAGTAACCTCTTAATTTTTAGTGGCATGTAACATAGTATGTTAGTTAAACCTGCCACATTTGTCAGGGTTGTCTGGTTGAGGAAGGCTTTGAAAGAGTTCAATTGAATTGAATTGAACTCTTGATATACTTTGTATCCTAAAATTTCTAACGAGTTCAAATTACCATACATGGCTCCATATAGTTGGGTCTTTTGTTGATTGATGTTCAGGTTTAATTTCCTGAAAATTTGAGCCACAAAGGTCATTAGTTGAGGAATCTCAGCCACACGTGAAGTGTCCAGAATAAGCATCAGGTCATCCGCGTAGGCAAGTGTAGTACAGTGAGTGTTCATTTCTTGTATAGCATCGTCAAGGGCCATTACAAAAAGTAGCGGGCCACTGGAAGATCCCTGAGGAACTCCAATAAGTTCGGTTTTGTAGTAAGGTTTATCTTTTAAGGTAATCTTGACTAATCTGTTTTTGCAGAAACTTTCAACTAAGTTTCCCAGGCTGGGATCCAGGGTTTTTAGTTTTTGAATGAGTGTGTCGATAATGATCTCATCAAAAGCGTTCGAGAGATCTATTTTTATAAATATTTTTTTGAGGATATCACCGTGAGTTGCTTTCAGATAATAGGAGGAACGTGTAACTTTATTCTGATAGGCAAATTGGGAGTTCGGAGTCAGGAAGAGAGGCGTCAAAAGTTGAAGACGTTGGCTTATTATAATGTCAACAATTTTCAGCATGTAATTTGGAGTTTTTAGCAGTCTCATTCGCATGTTGTCAGACTTCGGAATGAAGATACCACCGAAAACGCGCATCACTTGTGGAATATAAGAGATTTCAAAAATAGTGGTGATTAGAGTTCTAATTTTTTGTTCATTTGGCTGTAGGAATTGAGTCCAAGTACGATTGTTGAAACTATCTGAGTTGAGAGAAGTCTTTCTTTTGTAGCTTTCAGATACGGCCTTTTGCCATTCCGTTAGATATAATTTTCCTATGCACGGGAAAAAACCAGAGTCGTCATATGAAGGAGGCTTAGTCGTGAAAGAGGAAAGCTGAAAATCAATTGAATTCAATTGATGGGCATTCAAAATTTGATTTTTGTCAATTGATTTCTGTTTGGAAGAAATAAGCAATTTCTTTTCGATCCATGACCATAACTCTTTAGTATCCGAATTGGCAAATTTTGAATTGAGAATTGGAATAGACTCATGTTTTTGTCGCTTACTACTGATTTTTTCTGAGATAGCTTCATGGGCAACCCAGTTCTTGTCTTTTGTTAGTTTTTTCTTTTTGGCGTTAAGTTTTCGTAGGCCGCGCGAGAGTTTGAACCAAGGTTTGAGTCGTGTAGATGAGTTATGTTTAACGAAGAGCATCACAGTCTTTATGTTCTTTATCAGGGGTGAGTTGCGAGATAATGAATTTGGGCGAATATGGGAATTTCTCAATTTCAGCTTAGTGGTTTTTAATTTTATAATCTTCCTATGTCTAGGTAGAGGTGGTGGAGGATTAACAGGACATTGAATGATTACTTCTAAGATGCTATGATCACAGTTTTGGACAATAGTGGAGGAGTGCAGGATGGTAAAGCTATCAGAAAGAAGTATTGTATCTATCCAGGTACGAACATCATCATGAGAACGGCAGAAGGTATAATTAGACGAATCAGGTGTATTATGATTGATAAGTTTCTTGGGACCGTACAGGGATTGCCACTTCGAGTGTGTGTGGAAATTGAAGGACCAAAGAGGGTCTTGTACGTTGAGGTCACCACAAAGGATGATGTTGTCGTCCAAGTCATTAATGTATTAGATTACCCGATCAGTTTGTTGGTTGTGACGGAAGCGTGAACCCGCGTGGGCTATATAAGCTGAGAGGTAGTGAATTGAATTCAATTCAATATGAATAAGATAATCCATGAAAGTAGTGATTTGTTTTTGTTTGATCGAGCGTTTGATCAATGTAAGAAGATTGTTGGTATAATAGAGATGGTAATGATCGTTTACGGGTTTGAAATTCTCCAAAGAATTCTGTAGTAGTTGTGCGGTTAGTAGTGGGGATGGTTCATTGATTGAAATAATGTCATGTTTATTGGACATGACTGAGTCTAAGAGATTGATCATCCGATTTCTCATTTTCCCTACATTCCAGTGGACGATGTTGAGCAATAATGTGTGCTGTTGTAAATCACGCTGCATTCAGGACAGCTTTTGTATTTCGCCAGCGGTTTGAAAATAATTTTTCTTGAATTTAACACGAAAGTTGACTGCTCGTTTTTTAAGATTTTATAAGAGAATTCCGATTTCACGAAAATGTAAATGACGGTACCCCAGTCAGGCTTTAAAGTACTAGTAAGAACAAAATCTTTACGTGGTAAGATAGAATTCAGGTAGGCAGCGAGAGGTTTTTTCAGTGGTTCTTCAGACTTTGTAAATTGAGATAGGCAGTGCCAGTCGACAACAACAGGTAATATATTCTCACTGTTTAAATCAGTGATTAATGGAACAAAACGTTCTGGAATTGGATTGATCAGAATTGAATTCAATTTGACTCTTCGTGAACCAGTTCTAATGTTTCGGGCGATGGCTTGTGTAAGAGATTGAGGAGGTTCCCAGTTTATAAGAGTTGAAAGTATGGCAAATTGTTCGTCCACCAAAGAATGTGAAACAGTAGGAGGAGACGAAAAATCTTGAGATGAACTCGATGAGAGATTTGAGGCTGTATCAAAAGAGACGTCCAGTAGAAGGGCTGCTTTGCCAAGTTTTTGAATTGCCGGAATTAAATTATTGTGGGCACCACAGCAAATCGCACTAGAAATGAGTTGAGTAAGGCCTATCACGACTATTTGTGTAATTCCTTTTCTCTGGATGAAAATCTCAGGGTCTGAGCTCAAGAGTTCGTTGATTATGTCCACAAGAGTCGATGAATTTTCTTTATACCACGAGTCAAAAAATTTATTAATCAGATGATTCTTTTTTAGGGTCTGAAAAACATCATTTAGGGTATCTTGCATGATTAGAGAGATAGGATGAATGAGGACTAAGTATTTGGTGGGAAAAAGAGAAGGATTACAGAATTAAAGGAAATAAGTTCTTTACATAAAAAAAGAGGTATGAATCTTATTGCTGTCACCAGAGGGCGTTAGTGAAAAATAGTGAGTAATTTATGGCGTAAAAAAATTACCATTCAAGCTGTTTTTGGGTTATGACTAACTTTGCATCAATCATTGATTGTGAATTCATTGATTAAAAAATTGTGGTAACAGTCATCGCTAGATTTAATCAACGATTCAAGATTTAGTTAAAGTGTGTAGCTCTGAATTGAATTGAATTCAATTGGCTGAAAAACTAACAAGGTAGGTAACAAAATTAACTGATAATAAAGGAGTGAAGTGAACAATAAACCAGGAGCAGCTTGAGGAGATAAAGGAAATAGATATTTTAATTAAAAGTGTTTTTGTTTCTTTAATTTCAGATCACCATGGACGTTAGTATTGAACAATGTTCTGGACATTCGCTGATTCATCTATTTTGGTGCCCTATTTGTAATAAACTTGTTCGTCATATGAAATTTCATGACGGAGGGTTTAACCAGCCATTTTGTAAGAGGCCATTTTGTGGAGTCTGTATTGAGGAAAAAATTCAGCCAGAGAAAAGCTTTTCTGGACCATTGCTTATAAAGCGAGTGAGCTGTCCAGTTCGAGATTGCGGGATGCCGCTTCAATCCAACATGATTAGAGGGTCAACCAAGATGGAAGACATATGGTACAACACCATAAATATTAATTGCATTAATTGTCTGCAGAACTTCAATCCTGACGATTACGCCAAACATGTTTTCCGGTGTCCTGGCAATAAATTTGAGCCTTTTATCGTAGGAGAGCCTCTAAAAGGGGATTTAATGTTTTCTGTCAACAGTAACAGTAAGAGAAAATTGTTTATCTCGGATGATGCATCACCTAGTGATGTTGGACTAGGTAAGTAAATATTAAAAAAGGTGTTAACAACCATTATCCAAGAAAAAGGAAACTCAATTGAATTCAATTGAATTGTATCTTTCAGTAACCTACGAAAGGCAGTTGGAAGCAAAAACCGGAATCATCTTCGAGTTGCGTTTTGCTGGAACAGCTACAAAGGTCAAGATACGGCCTGATGTGGATATGAAGGAGCTGATGGAAACTTTGCGAAAAGCATACAATTTTGCCGGGGAGATGGACCTAGCTTACGTAGCCCATCGGAGTTTGGTCAAGTCAGGCTCAGTTGCTGACTTTCTGTCAGTTTTACCTGTCGGAGCGCCTATTAATTTTGTCCCGATTCCTGAGATGGTAGATTTGAAATCAAAAGAGATTGAGCTTTATCTCACTCAGGGGATTCCACGTAATTCCTGCCTCTATGGGCAAGAAATCCCGGAGGATTTGCCAAACTGACATGAGATCTTTCAGTTAAGAGGAAAATTCCTTACTGTTGATAAGATTGAAAGCTTATCTTTATTTTCTCACGCCATCATTTGGTGGCTTTATGCTATTTTTTCAAGACGCTAATTTACAGTTCATTCTTCATGTGAAATGAAGCTATCTTATCATTTGTTTAAAATACTCAGTCGAGATCACTTCGTTTAATTAGTTATTTTCAACAACTCAATTCAATTGAATTGAAGGAAAAATTTCTTTTTTGTATACTTTCTATTTTGTGAATCTCTTTAATAAAAATGACAACACCTGTCACTATTCCTCGCAATTTATGTTCTGGTCATGATTATATTGATTTTTTTATTTGTGGCATATGTGGATCACTAGCCGTTAATTGGTCAATACATGATGGGGCCTTCGGACAGCCTTATTGTCAGCGAGTTTTTTGTGGCGCCTGTATAGATTCTCACAGCGTTGATCCCGCAAATATCATTCGTGGTCGAAACGGAATCGCAAAAATTATTTGTCCAACTATCAATTGTAACGCTAATTTCCAGTCTCCTATTTTACGCACTCCATCAATTTTTGAGTTAACATCTTATCGGAACATCATAGTTCAATGTCCAGGTTGTGGATCATCATTTGGCGCTGAAAGATATTCTAATCATCGGGTTAGTTGTACCAGTGAGCCTTCATGTTCTGGCAGTTTAGTCAGGGATCATGAATCAGGCGTTTTGGCTCTGAATCCCAGTGTCGACAATGCTTTGCGTGACGCTTCTATTCGTGACAAAAGACAGCTTGTATCATCACACTCTCTCGGAGGAAGGTTTGAGAAATGTAAGTATTAATTTCGAGAATTGTGTTTTCAATTCAATTGAATTGATAGTGTCTCAGTATTCATGTCAAGTCATTTGTTTAATTTAATTATAGACACTTATGGACGTATGACAAATACGCCAAGAGGAGTGGTCTTACGCATATTTTTTCGTAATCGCTTTTTTCGCGTTCAAGTGGATCCCAGCAAGGATTTTGCCGAATTTTTGGATGAGGTCAGAGGATTTTTCCGAGTATCTGGAGTAGCCGATCTGATTCATATAAGACATGTCAGTTTAAAGGCGTGTAACAGTTTCAAGGACTTCATCAAGTCTATTCCTGTTGGTGCCCCCATTAATCTTATGCCACGGCAAGCTTGTGTATCTGACCCAAACTACTTTGTGAGTTATGAGGTAAAAGCGACTTCAGCGAATTGATTCTCCAGAATTGAAAAAAATTGAAAGAAAATTAAATTTGTAATAAATGAAATTATTTATTTTGAGAATCAGATATTATATTGGCAACATGATGAGAAAAATAAAGATATTAAATCAATTCAATTGAATTCAAGTTCATTAAGTTAATTTCAGATAAGTGAAAGAGTGAATGAAAAAGAAAAAGGAAAAAATATGACAAAAAGGAAAAATTCAATAATAAATAATTGTATACTTGATTGTAATAACAAAGAAGATGAAAAATTAATTTATGGAAATGAGTAGCATAACGAAGAAAGGTAGAAAAATTCATTTTCTTTTACATAATGATGTACGAGTAGTGATAATTAACTAGTGTGGTGGCGTATTTAAGTTGTTTTTGTAGCTTGGGGCAGTCTTTATGTCCTGCTTTGTGACCAGGTTGGTCACAGGCAGGGCATTTGTAGTTCTGTGGTTTGTCTTTAGACTCACAAGTGTGTGACAAATGGTATTGTGAGCAATATTTGCATTTACTTTGTGATCCACAAAAAAATTTTGTGTGTGAATATTTGAAGCATCTGGTACATTGGATAATGTTGAAGTAATCTGTTACGTTGACTTTGGAGCATCTGTAGAGGAGCAAGCCTCTTCTTCTTGCTACCTCATCTCTAATAGCTGGGGTAACCCTCAAGATATAATCTGATTTGTTGGGATTTCTCGAAGATGTTGTAGAATGATGTTCAATTTTGTCTTTTTTGTTGAAGTTATTGTACTTCTTGATATCTTCGATGAAGGTATTAACATCTAATTCTTTAGGAAGATTATGTAAGCGGATCATTGGTTCGAAAGGTTCTGGTACATATGCTTCTATTTTTTTGTTAATTTTCTTGATTTCTTTTTTAAAGAAATCTCTTTGTTTTGCGTCAGAGAATCTAACAATTACCTTATCATCATTGGCTTTTAGTTTCGTTATTTCTGAAGTGATTTTGAATTCAATTCTATTGAGTTCAATCAGATTCTTGATTTCTAACGGTGTCATTTCTTCTCCAGCTTCAACAAAAAGAACTGGTTCCATCAATTCGTTATCAGTCACTTTTAACCAATGGTTGGGAATAGCTCCATCCTCTAGAGACATGTAATTCTTTTTGATCTTTTTGACTGAATTATAGCTTTTGGCATTTGCAGTAGATTCCTCCTTTTTTCTTTTGTTAGCTTCTGATTCTTTCTTTTGTTCTTCTTGGAATTTCTCCATTTCTTCTTTATATTTCTTGAAATCAATGTCCTCTTGATTAGTGTTATCAAAAATTCCTGTCATCGTATTGATTATCTTTTTAATCTTGTGCTTATCAGCAACTTTCTTTAGGTTGGGTTTATCCTTAAGGATGTCCACAATATTCTTTACAGTCATTTTTAATTGGCATATCGGCGTGGCTTTAATCTTTTCAGCATCTGGTGTCTTATTGTTCATGTAGGTGAGAAATTTCTCGATCAATTGTTTGTTTAATTCAATTAGTTTTTGTTGCTCAGCAATATCATTCGCCATCTGTGAGAAAGAGATGTTGAGAGAAGAATAGAATTTTTGGGATACAAGTTGAGATGTGAATTGAATTGAATTCAATATGATTGAGTAGTTTTGATTGTTTTTTTTCTTTTTATTGTTTTTTCGTTCTGAGTTTTAATTGAGAGAAATCAATTAAACCCGGGTTCACCATGTGGTCCAGAAGAAAGAACTTGAGGACCGGTGAGTTTATAAAGAATAAAATTCTTTCTTGTCTCATAGAGAGATGAGGTGCTTACCTTTAGATGGTTAAATAGCACAAATTTGATATAGTTAACTTTTGAAAGTCACTTGTTGGGATGTGTGATGATGTTATGTACTGGTTTTAAACAAAAAATTTAAATTAATAATTCAAAAAAATCAAAATTAAATTAATTAGACTTAGGCTGAAAAAAACGTGGCTCGAATTTTTACCAATACAAAGTGGCATCTATTGTCACTTTTTACAACTACAACATAAACAGTTTTTAATCATGACTCAATCTGTGTGACACAATCGGTTATTTATCAAACAATTTCATCTGATTGTATTTAACTGTTATTTATTTTTGTTCTTGGCTATTCTCTAAAAGCTCATTGGCTAATCCTGACCCTTGTCGTGTTTTGATTCCATTTAAAAATAGCATTGGATTATCACATAGAAACAGAACAGAGATTTGAAAGCTCTTGTGAGATGGAAGTCGTTACCTTTTGTCTTCGTCAAGCCTTCTCCTACGCGCCAGTGTTACACCATTAATGTTGCCAATATTATTTATTTTGCAATCAACTATTGATTGATTCATGCTCGAATCCAGCATTGACTAATCGTCCTTAGATCAATTTTTATCAATTGTTAATTTAAAGGTAATTTTCGTATTTGTTTTCTTCAATTGCATTCTTTCTTGTTATTCATTCAATTTTTTTTTCTTTTTTTTCGATCAGCTTTTGTTGTTGATATTTAGATTAAGATAGCCTTATCCCTGGCCTTACATCGATTGCAATTACTGTCCAGTTGATTTTATTGACATTGGATGATTCTTGAAATTAAACAATTGTTTTCGAGACTATGGTAAAATTGAAAGTGGATTCAAAAATAGAATTATCAACTTGTGAGTGTTCAAATCAAAGCTGATTAAACATGATGAATAATAATTCTGTTTACTTCGTGAAAACTTCGTCTACTATGAAAATGGGACACATGAATATGACATAATCAGGACAAATGCCATTTTTGAAATGTTTCTATTATACAATCCATTGTTGAGATATCTATAAGGCACATCTCAAAAAAGTATCGCATTTGCAGTCGCAAGTTATGAATATCTGAAATTTTGGCCATCAATCTATAATGATAGTCTGAGGCAACACCCGGTGATTTACAATTCATTTCCAAATATCGTCGTAAAATGTAAATGTAAGTGTATTGCTCTAGTCTGTGAAAGAAAATAAAATTAATATTAGATTATTAGATATTGATTAAAACATAACGCTTGTATTAACCTTATGTATTCTTTAAATTTGAGATCAGGTAAATCTGGATTGAAGAGAATAATCAAGCAAAGAAGAGCGTAAACATTTGGATCTCTCCGCCATCGATCTGGAAAAGTCTCAATAATACGAACAAGGCCATTGTGCAAAGAAGCATCCATATAAAAAACATCTCTTCTATTAATCCGGACACCTGAACACTTGAAAGCATATATTTGATGGAGTTAATAATTAGCAAATAATGTATTTTGAAAAGATTTGCATCTAATTTGAAACAGAAGTGATTATTTGAATGGTCTGTCTAAAGTCAACTTACAATCCAGCTATCGGTTAGATAATCATAGGAGAGGACACTTTTCAAAGCGATTATATCGAAAAATATATTTGACAAAAGAGTGATTTTGTCCTCGAAAAGCAATGGCTTGTACGCTCTTACTTCTTTGCATGTCAGAGCAAGCTCTCCAGGACATGGTGTGTCATCCTTTCCACCTTTTATAGAGCAGACGGGTTCACGAAGAGCTATCGCATCAAAAGCTGCACAAGCTTCTTTCATTACAATTGATTGGAACTCATCAAGAGATATTTGACTGGCTAGGAACTCTGATTTCAGGTTTATTGGCGTATAATAAGCTGCCCTTATTTTCTTTGCCACTTTCGGTCTAAATGGCTCTTTAACCATTGAAGTTTCCGTACATAGGGAAAGTATTTTCTTAAAGTCTCGATCTTTTGAACTTGATTTTTTTAACTGAAGATAGGTGTAATTCAAACGGAGCTGCGAGGCGGGTGCAGCTCTGTTTAATTCATTGAAAGGTCCACTTGAAGACTGTGTACTGTTTTGTGTTGAATGGCGTGTAAAATTTGTCTCCATTGGAGTAGAAGCATTGGAAATATCAGAAAAGAATGAAGATGAAGATTTTGGTCCATTGTTGTTGATTGACGATGGCGAAAATAGCTGAAAGTCATCATAAACTGAATCACTTTGCAAGTTGTTACACTGATAATTTTGAGAGACATCATTAGAGGTGATTTGTTTCGGAGATGTTTCTCTTAATCGCTCAAAAGAGTCATGTCCCAAATCCATGTGATAATCATTGGTATAGACTGTGTATTCTGGTGCACTATCGATATGGTTATTGACCATGTCTTCAGTGGTGCCAAGTGAATTTAAAATAGTTTCCAGATCGTTTGGACATATAGACGGGAATGTTGGTAAAGATGCTATCTCTTGCATTCTTTGCTCAAGTGAAGCTGTTTCAGTTGACAATAAAGTTTGCTGTTGGTAAGTTTCATTCACATCCATAGTTTTGCTTGAAAACATTGTCCGGTAAGAAAGAGGAAAAACCTAAAAACAAAGCAATATTGAGCACACTGAAACGTTTTAATGAGGTTATTGTTACCTAGATATCATAAGTTTTTATATGTGTCGTTTCTCCCTTTAATAAATACATGTATGACTATCATAAATGACTATTATCCTCACTCTGTTTATCTGATACCTTTTAATCTCTTCCATGTTTCTAATCTCAGTTTCAGATTGATTATTATGGAATACTTTACCAGAAGACTAATCGAGCAATGTTTCATCATAACATTAACCAGTATCCATCAAAATCTATAGCTGCCTAGCATTACCTTTATCTAACCTATTTTTAAATGTTTTTCTTATCTCATATCAACCACAGTTTATAAATGATACTCTTAGAACTGTTCAGCTAATTAACTTCGAAATTAACTTACACAAAAAGGTATGTATGTAACGAAGAAATGGAATGGGAACCGGTTTTAAATTCATTTTCGCCTCTTTTGTATGAATCTCTCAGAAACCTGAATTCCGAGAAAGCTCTGACTATTTTTGGTGGTTCCAAGCATGGCTTTCATGCAGTTTCCTTTAAACCAGCTCAGTTCGATCATAATTTTGAGGCAAAAATTTATTGTTTTGACTTTATATTGTAGATTATCCTTGTTATAATTGGACATAAACTGGACTTTTATTATTGATTATTGATCTTGTCCATAGCAGTTATGTCAGTTTGCGCCCGATATAATTCTGAGACTGAAATAAGTGATGAAGAAGTCATGATCACATGTCAACTGAAGCACATTATAACCAGAATATCAACAAACCCATCATTTGATTAGAGGGTAATAAAGAGGAACAATAAAATGAACAAAACAAATAACAAATGTAAAAGCCTTGGCAATTACTATTAAGCTCCACTATTTTCAGAATTTAGGAGACTTTTAAAGCAGCGATTCAATAGACAAGGATCATGACAATATAATCTCTGGATCATTTGCTATGGATTTATTCATTAAGACTACGTGGCAATTGTAAAGTGCTATCTCCTCGTAAACACAGCCTAAAAAACATTGATAAAAAATTAATACTAGACTGGTACCGTGTTACCGCACATTCAAGCTCTGAGCTTTTAAATGAGGTCCTCGTTTATAAGCTTTTTTTACTCTAAATAACGATGCGCTATGCGCTTAAAATTCACTTAGAAAAACCGGTTTTAAAATAACTTCTTTCTCGACAATAGGCACTGATTCGATAAGATTATTCATCGTTTAATTGATTGTTAGCATGATAATTTTTTTAGACTCGTTTCCATTGCTCAAAATGTATTTTATCAGCAATGACCATTTCTGTATCAGAGCCTATCTCATAGTTTGCTCATTATCTTAGTAGCGCTTATTTAAACGGCTAGAATACCTGATTTACTTACAAGCACAAGCTTTAATTGGTGAGGAAAACTTTGTCTTATAAATGGGGTTCGTTCATTTATAAGCTCAGAGCCTATTTGCGCGGTAACACGGTAATTAGAGCATGTAGCATGATATCAATAATAATGTTTGTTCAAATCAAAGTAATAATTTACGATCAACTGTCACCATCTGTAAGAAGGTATCTTAACAAGAATAAGTCATTTTTTCGGATTAAGATCCAACTCTTGCAAATCAATAATGAGTTTTGATTAGAGCTTCTGATATTGGACGTTTATATTTAGCTTCATGTCTAATTATACTCATAGCCAAGACAAATTAAATGTCATATCTAGACTATACAATTAGCGCTGAATCTAAAGCCTAATGTAGTTTAGACTCTAGTCTAGACTTGACTTCGGTTATGCACTCTTTGTGCATTGATTTTTGAAGATCATTTAGCTATTGTTGGTAAGGTTTTACTTTTACGGAGAAAGGCGTAAACATTGAAACATATGATTTTTTGGTTAGGTAAGTTTGATCAAGGGGCTGTTGGTTGGTCGGTCAGGTTAGGTTAGGTTCGGTTAGGTTAGGTTTGGTAAGGTTAGGGTGGGCTTAGGTCGGCCTGGGGCCTTAATTAGCTTCATTTAATTCAATTGTTCATAAAGAGCGCTCTTAAAAAACGTCTAGCATTGGATGATTTTTAATGTTTACACCTTTCTCCGTAAAAGTAAAACCTTACCCTATTGTTTTATCTCCACCTTACATTACATCGCATAATCGAAATGAATTTAGCAGAAAAGGTGATGCGTTAAACACAAGATTAACACTAAAATCGCGGAATTTTCCATCTTTGATCTGTCATTTCATGATTTGATTTGTCAATTTCTTACCCTAATCTTTAAGATGATCACACTTCTACAACACTTTCATTGATATTCATCATTGATATCATGAAAAGCTAGAGCTTGACAATGGCCTCCAATAATAGTTAATGTTTAATTAAGTTGAGATGTTTTGATTGACGTGATGTGTACAATATTTGACTGGTAAAATTTAGTCACAATTTTTAAAATAAAACTAAAAGCCAAAAAAAATATTTAATGTCCGTGACAGTTCATCATATCAATCCATTTTTCACGATCGAATTTGTTGGTCAAGCTATATACATATTTGATCTTTATTTATCCTTCTCATTTTTAATATTAAATATAATAGTTTTTTAAAATAATTAAACGATGTTAAAGATAAATCAAGAACCGTCTCGAATTTTTTATTACTGATACAAAGTGGCATCTATCGTCACTCTTTACAACTACAACGTAAACAGTTTTTAATCATGACTCAATCCGTGTTTCAAAGACAAGTGAAACATTTGAGTAAACGCAATCGGTTATTTATCAAACAATTTCATCTGATTGTATTTAACTGTTATTTAATTTTGTTCTTGGCTATTCTTTAAAAGTTCATTGGCTAATCCTGACCCTTGTCGTGTTTTCTATTTAGGTAAGTTTCTATAAATCTTAATTCTCATTTACCCTTTGTCATTTATCATTTGTTTATTGTCATTTGACTACCATCTTTTTCTCCCTCTTTCTTTCTCACTTTCCTCTCACTCTCGTCCTGTGTATTGTTATTATTCAATTTTCTCAATTATTGCCAAGTATCTGTTGTTTTCTGCAAATTAATACCTTTGAATACCGTTGAATCAACTGTTAACACATTTATTTGTTCCGTTTACCCTTCTTACTGCTCTTTTTCTTCTGGCAACAATTTTCACTCTTTAATTCATCCAATCATTGCTCGATTTAAGTCAAGTTTAATATTAATGAACCAATTTATTTTGTTTTATATTTCAGCTGCTTCAATTGTTTCTCGCTTTTAAATTTCTTGGCTCCGTTTGACTCGAAAATTTGTTTATTAACAGACAGTGCGTATATGGCTTCTCGTTACGATGCAAAATACTGGTAATCACTTGAACCATAATCGTGGTAATCAGGATGAGAAGGGACAAGCTGGCGAGGAACAGCACCAAAGTGAGCAAAACTCAACACCACCACAGCAGTCAAGTTATGTAAGGTCAACTCGCAGAGAAAAAAAAATTAAATTAGAACGTGATGAATCTGTTGGAACTCGAAGAAACTCCGAACCCGCTGAAACTACCCTTGAAAATGTTGAATTGGCCAGAAAAGTATCACCCTCTTCATCTGCACCTGCTGGATCTGCTGGAGGATCAAGTGGCAAAAAAAGCAAACGAGGCAAAAAATCTACCCGAGTTGACATGAATGCCAAATTAGAACGAAGTCGTCAAAGTGCTCGTGAGTGTAGAGCCCGGAAAAAATTAAGATATCAATATCTTGAGGATTTGGTGAATAAGAGAGAAAAGGCAGTTTTTTCATTACAAAAAGAACTTGATTCGGTAAGTTTCATTTTTTAAATACCACGGTCACTTAACCTTAACAACTTTTAGTTCTCTTGGTGTTTTTAATTGAAATTTTTCAATTGTCACGAAAGGAATTTTAAAATATTTTAAACATTGATTTTCTGACCTCTCTTTTTCTCTTTCTATTCTTACAGTACAAAGATTGGTGCAAGCAGGTTGACGATGGAGCTAACCCGAAAGAAGCATTTGGACAGAAAGTCAGATTTTCATAAATATTCAGTTTAATTGTAAAGATTGTCTTTTTCAAAATCAAGATGTAAACAAAATATTTCATAATTTTATCAGAATATATTTTACATCCATCGATGTTCATCATTGGCTGAGGCTTCGAATCAAATCAAGACTACGACTGTTCATCTAAACTTTTACTTGTGAATTTCCAAACGTGTTTATGACCACGGACAGCTGGTTTCAATTGGACAACATTCTTGATGCAAAAACCATGGACTACCACAGTAAAACTCTATGGTTGAGATATCCACTCCTAATCATTAATATTATTTGTTATGATCTGTTTTAACTTTTTATTCAACATGGCCTTGAAAATTACTTCTCATTTTAAAAACAATGGGTTGAAACATGATTATAATTTATAAAATTTTATTTTAGCTTCATCAACATTGATTGCATTTTATTGTTAACACTTTACTTAATTACAATCGGTTACTAACTTTATCTACTCGGGATGATTGAGCTTCAAAGATTTAATTCTTGTTTACTTTCAAAATCATGTTGATTCTCTTCAATTAGGATATGATTGAATCGAAATATGATTTTACTTTTCGGCGTAAGAATCAAACCAAGAAATCAAGTAAATTCTTTATAAATTAATTTTTACTTTGTTTAGCATTCATGAGCATTTACAGCAACAGATGAAACAAACTAAAAACAATAGCAAGGTAATTTGTACTGTCAATCTAAGTTGGCAGGTTTGATTAAGCTACTTTAAGTCCTTTCATTTCCATTTATCGAGATGTTATTATAATAATTTTACCATAAGGAATCAGCCACATACGTTGCATAATTACAACGATAAGCGTAAAGAATGGGGCCAGATCATGAGATTCAAGTAATTTTATTAAACTTATGAACAATTTTGACTTGCCTACATTACAACATGTAAAGGATCCATCTATAACAGAAACAAAAATATATATTTCAAATGAAAATTTGCAAAAGTAAATAATATGATCGAGTTATTGAACAGGTGTTGAATTAAAATGGAAGCCATGATCGTAGCTTTTCTTTCCAACTTTTTTGTTTATTTTCTGCCACCGGAGTATCTTCGATAGCTCTTATTTCAGGTGTTGAAGGAGATCGAGGAAGCTGACCCTGACTAGGCCCAAACCATGAATCAGATGAAAAACCTGTTTTCCACATCTTATCGAACTCTGATAAATCTTTTTCTTCCATATTAAGAAGGTCTTCTTCAATCTCTTGTTCTCCAGTTGGATCGCGTTTAGAGGTCACAGTATAGGATTTGTCTCCGAGAGTTCTTGTATGAGACTCAATTCGTTTTCCACTTGAATCGGTTTCAATACGCTTGGTCTCAATTTTCTGTACAAAAAAAACCAAAAATTAGTAAATAACATAAACTTGTGTGGGCATCCAAGGATATTTAAGATACGATGCTCATAAGCAATGATATAAATTAACTATGCATACTTACATCGCCATTCATGACAGAACTGAACTGTTTAACTTGAAAAAAAGATTTAAAGGGCTGAGGAGATTGATCTGAACCAAGTCCATCACCAAAGAAATTAGCATGTGGATCAAAGTTATGTACCATCCTGTGGTCATTATTAAAGGGTACCATTTGACCCCTGGGTTGAGCTCCTGGTTCCAGAAAATCATCCCGGAGTGACCTATTTCTAGGATAAGGTTCCAACATAGAAAAGCCTGAATTAAATGGATCAGGATGAGCACCACCAAAACTACCAAAACCTCCAGGCCCAGGGAATGGTGTACCAAAGTCGAAAAAACTATCCATTCTATTGAATGTTCGCATCATGCTGTCAAAATGACGAAAAATGTCATCGTCCATCATTGTGGTTTGTAAACAATTTTATAAATAATCAAATAAACAGAGCACAGTTTTGAATCAGTAAAACTATTAGAACGTCAATTTACGAAATGTGTACAAAATATAATCCAAACTGTTGTTGTTTGTGCGAGTCAAAAATTCCAGAAATTTCTTTGAAGCGCCATCTTGTAGATTAAATAAAAGCTTGTTTGATTATATTGAAATTAAATTAAACGAGATGGCGCAATAATAAGCTTTTTGGAATCATACCGAGACTGGAAAGACTAACTGGACATTTACTTACAATCAGTGTCTCGGTAATTGTTGTATTGTTTACCAACATCAAAATGATGATGATAAGTGATGAAATTTCCCGGCATTGGGTGAACAACAGCAAACCTTTAAATGTTCTTCTATTGAGAAAATATTTGATTAGATCTTCGAAAGATAAAAAGCCTTATGACCCGAACTTCAAGAAGGAAACTGTGAAAAGAGTCAAAACTCCTAAAGAACCATCTTCAAGACAACCCATCACCTCAACGCCAAGGGTTCCTGGTAAACCATCAACATCTCCAAGTGCTGAAAATAAAAAAAGTAAACCAAGATTGACACCAACCAAAGTTTCATCGAAAAATTCAGTTCTATCATTGCAATCATTGCCATCAAATTTATCTACTCCATCCAAGTCATCCATAGTCAACAGTTCTGCTCAATCAAAAGCAACCTCATCTCATGTATCCACCCCATCAAAGACACCGACATCTAATGTATCTAATTCATCAAAAGCATCTTCATCCAATGTGACTACACCAACTAAATCAAATGTCCCGCCAAAATCATCGGGATCTTCAAAATCATTGGTTCAATCGAGAAAATTGTTTAATCATCCTCCAAAAAAGATACCTAGAATAGAAGATAATTCTAACTCTCAGCAAAACATTAAGCATGATAAACCCAAAGTTTTAAGCTCCGATTTCAAAATACCTAAAAAATCAAAGACTGAAACTCAGGAGGCTACCCTTAGAAAAGCAAATGTAAACACCGAACCGGCTAGTAGAACGAGCTTAAATGCAATCAATTCAAAGCCTAATGAATCATCTAAGTCAGCACAGCTCTCTATAGATAATGGAGAGGATATTGATTTGCTGGAAACTGAAGATCCTTCATTAGATTTTGATATTTATGGTGCACCTGAACAAGAATTTATTCCAGAATCAGTTGAAAATTCTGGTTTATCAAATGAAGCAGAAGCAGAAGCTGAACCAGAGTCGGAGCAAGAGTCAGAGCCAGAACAATCTTCAGAAATCGAGCAATCTAATGAATCAAATGAAGCTTCTAACCAAAGTACCAAACCTTTACCTTCATCTGACAGTGAGAGTTCAGATGATGAAACAAATTTCAAGCGTAAAGGAGCAAAACACAAAGATGATGCAATACAAGAGAAACCAAAAGTGAAACCTCCTGATAGACCAAATACAAGCAATTTTAAGCCTAATATATCTTCAACGGAAAATTCAATTAAATCAAGATTAAATCATTCTAATTCTCAACATTTGAAGCCACATAATACAAACCTTGTTAATCGTGCCCAACTGCCACAGATACCTGGTGAACCACCAATCGATGAAATTCTGGCAGCATTCGATGAAATTAAGTCTCCTGATATAGCTATGAAACAATTTTTACACATTCAAACTGTGTATCCCAAGTCATTTATTTTGCACAAAAGAAGATTCCAAAGTTTATTTAAGCGAATATTAATAGATCTTTTTCGTGATGTTAATTTTTTCTTTAAAGACAATCAGGTAACTATGATAATAGATCAATTGAGCAAACTTGAAATGAATAACAATGACTATTGGGAAGAATTTATCTGTACATGGGGCAAAAATTATCCTCAGCTTGGCTCAAATCTGAGTAAGAAAAAGGTAAGCTAATAACTTTTATGACATTTTCATTATCTAATTTTCTTTATTTTTTATTTCCAACAGAATATTCAACGAGCAATAGAAATTTTTTATGCTCATTTACAGGCAACACCGATTCTTATAAACCTGCCCACAGCGAAATACTTATTTGAAATGAAGGAATTTTTGGCAACCTAATAGTTGATTGGCCCATTATTACTTAATCACGATCACTTTTTCATCATTTCGATATTCACTATTCACTATCTATTTTGCATATTTGTTTTTTTTCATTTAACAGTTACATTCTTCAAAGTTTATATCATTATCCGAATGAGGATGAAATTCTATCAATTCAGTTGTTTGCTTTTTAGATTACAGCTTTTTACATTATTTTTCTATTATGTCTTCCACTTATCCAAAGATTTATATTTTCATTTACACCTTTCAAAGTCTATGCTTACAATCAAATTTCAACTCTTCACTAAAATCTATTAATAATAAATACTATTGGTTCAATGAATATTTGAGAAGACAATATCAAATCTAATGTGGAAACAATCATTTAATGCTCCGAAATACATGATATTGAAAGCACAAATGAGAATCATTACTGGTTTATTGTCATAATTATAATGAATGATTACCCGAATCAAGTTTGACATATTGTTTACAGATTAACAATAATAATCAGTTGATATCAACAGAATTGAGAGAAACTACGCTTTTTCAATCAACTCATTAATTTGACATGCATTCATCTCAATTTAACTACAAATCTTTGCCTTGTTTTCTGGAAATGACAGTTTATTCGTTTTATCAACAGCAAAAACAAAATTATGGATCCCGTTTAGGCTTATCCTTTGTATTTAAACAATAATCATATGTATATTAAGTTTTTGAAATTAATTAATAAAATATATACTTGGAAAGAGAAACAAATTATTAAATCGTTTTTTATCAATAACAACTTAGAAGATCAAAGCCTAATTTAGAGACATTGAAATTCAAAATGAAATATTATTTATTCCTGATTCAATCATTTACGTTAATCAAACGATACATACTGATCAATAATTATCCACAGAATGGCCAATAGTGTGAAGATAAAGGTTAGTATTTGGTTTGGTGGCATTCGGAATCAGTGATGATTCCTGTGAGCGGTTCCTCTCTGCGGCTCTGCCAGCAATGATAATGCCATAAATGAGAGGACAAGAAGAGAGAAAATTAGTTTGATCATTTTGAAATCCTTTGCTGGTGAAGCAAATTGCAATTGATTAAGATTGATTTGAATATAACTGAATCAGTAGATTTGAGGTGAACTATGTTAAGTTGGAGATAAAATCCAGAGTATTATACAAATAAACATTTATGTACTCAGATGCCAATCTTTACACGTTGCACTTGGGTTCAGATTAAAATGAACCTGAATTGCTTGTTGTTTAATTGACAATAATAAGAGATCTTACTAAGTATTTAATCAATAAATTAAATATCGGCATTGGCAAAGTCATTTGGCTCTGTATAATTTAAGCTTAACCATCTAAACATCGTCATCTAAGGTTTTCAAATCAATCTAAGCAGTCCAATGATAAAATTTAAGATGAATATTATCATTCTATGGGATTTTGTATTTGTTTTATTAGATGCATCTAATGAAAGTATAAGATTTGTTTCAACATTTTACAAATGAAAAAATTAGTTTGCAAATCACCATATAAAAGCATACAAATTTTTCTAGAAAAAAGGCGATAAAACGCCGAAATCGAAAAGGTGACAGCCAATTCCGATATATTGGTCTTTAAGAAGGACGAATGTACCGATAGCTACTAATGAGATCTCGATATCAATTTATCGATTGGTGAGGTTCCCTCGTAAGTTGCAAGGATTTCACCCTTAGACTGATTAAATTGATTTGAAAACCTTAGATGACAATATGCAGATGATTAAACTTAAATTATACAGAATCAAATGACTTTGCTAATGTCAATATTTAATTGAATTGATTAAAATTGGTAGCAAGATCTCTTATCATTGCCAATTCTGTGTCAATTAAACAGCAAAAAATTCATGTACATTTTAATTTAAAACTCAAATTTAACCTGAAAAGTAAAGAAAAGGCATCAAAAAATCATTTGATTTGGGGATCATTTTAGTTTAATCATCTTGAGCTACATTAAATAATGAGTAATAACAGTCAAGATCAAGCGTTTAAATGTTTGCTTGTAAATTATTTCATTATTTGTTCATTTTGTCATCAATGGTATAAATACTCAGTAATTTGTCTTTAACTTTCCATAATTCAGTTGTATCCAAGTCAATCTTTCCAGTAAACTTCAACAAAAATGGATTCCAAAATGATCAAACTAATTCTCTCTGTTCTTATTCTTGTGATTACATTCTCTTCATTTGCAGAATCGACTTCTATTTTCAAAATGAAGATGGGTGGTAAACCATTGGTTAACGCTGAAATTAATATGAAATAATGCAATAATTTAATTATGAATAAATAATATTTCAATTTGAATTTCAATGTTTCTATTTATTTCTCTAAATGAACCCTTTAGAATACATCGAAGCTCTGCCATGCACTTATGTTATTTAAGTAAATTTTTGGTCCTTTTAGTATAATCACATGATAATTGGAAAATTTACGATTCGCGGGATCATTGGATTGAAATGATGAGAAGATTGACAGAGAATCGGAAGATAAACTTTGAGTATCGTGAACTTCTTAGCATCGGTTGGCTCAAATGATTGAGTCAAGATCTTTTTCTAGCCTCACTGAAGATGCTTAGGTTGCGGTGTCCTAAGTGATAGCCTTTTTCAATTAAAGGAAAATTTCGATTAAAATATTTGTTTATTAATCTGGTTAATTTCAAAATGTTTATTTGCGCATAATTATTTGTTAAGTACAAAAAACAAGTAACAACGAAATGTTGACAATTATCAATATTTTCTGTGTTTTCGTTGATACAAAGCATACTCTGTGTATCAAAAAGACATAATATTATAAATTACAATTTGTAGTTGAGAAGAAATTTCTCAGTCATTGCTAGAAATCAATTGAAAGATTACAATTGAACTGACCATAGAAAGCAAGAAGTAGTAAACACCACAAAAAATCGTGTAACCAGTAAAAAAATTAATGGTTGGAACGACGATAAACTTGGAATCGTTAGTGGTGAAACAAAATAACAAGCATAGTAGTGATGATAAAGCATCTGTTAACCATGGAATCCTCCACCGAACCCTCCACCGAACCCTCCGCCAATTCCTCCACCAAACCCATGATGTTGATGACCAAGAGGAAAAGGATGAATGATTGGTGGTTTAACCGATTCCACTGCAAATGGTACAGGCACTGGGATAGGAATGGGTACAACTCCGAATCCTGGTGGAGCAAGTAAAGCGGCTCCTATGATCAGTTTAAGTAGTTTACGAGCTTCACGTCCAGATAGTCGGTGGTATCCTTCAGCTGATGAGATTAAGATTATTATGGTGGCGATAAAGGTGAAAACAATAAACACTCTTTTAATCCGCATTGTGACAAGTGGTCAACTTCAATCCTATTGACGATAAAATACTCAACACTTGTTATTTGCAAATGTCTTAATAAAGAACAATCGATTTAAAAATTAAAGCGCAATATATTTTAGTCAAAATGTAGCACTGGATTAATTTTTAAAAGGGATTTTGAGATTAAGCTGTATAAAAATGGACGATGTTTGCCTTCGAAGACATCAAAAAGTTATAACTGGGTAACTGTAAGGATAAATCGTCTAGATGAGAGGTGCAATCAGTGAAGCTTATGTTTATATGAAAATGACCCGTTAAGCTTTTTCCCATTTACTTGAGCTGATTGTAGGTCCCAAGCTCATCTTGGTTCTGGTTCGGTAACATCCGATGGTCACTTTGACTCATGAGCCAGTATCAGCCTAAAAACAGATTGTCACAATTGATAGACTAACCATTTCACTGGAACAAAGCGTATCTAAAAAAGACAAAAAGGGACAGCAAATTAAACATTATTATTACAACTCTCTCTTCTTCATTTTAATAATCTTCCTTAATACTCAAATTTTTAATGTAAATCACCATTTTCAATTCAAGTAACAGTATTAATTAGTCTAGAAACTTCACCAATTGATTAATCGAGATTTCATTGTAAGCTACATTCGGCCTTCTCAAAGACTCCTGATGATGTTTAGGGCCTGATTCTTCAAATGATATTTATGAGTATATTAACTTAAACCTATTTCAGTAAATTTCGTATCATTTGCCAAATTAATCAGTTAGTTCTCAGAATATAACTTGTACCAGTCAAATTAAAGCTTAAAGATAGTAGATAAAATATTACCGATGAATCAAATTGAGATCAACAGTTGTATCAATACTTGAATTAGGTTGGAAGTAAACATTTGAATTTACCTAATTATAAATAGCTCTGGGTAAATATCATTCGTTGACTAATGCTGCTATTAAATTATCGCATTAAAATGTCAATTGTTTAAAATGGCAAATGTAATGAAATGTGATGAAGCCTGTGAATTTGTGATCTTGGCAAGTTATGGTTTGTTGAATATAATGATATATTTTCATGGATCAGTCTACATCAAGCTGACTAACTGAATGAAACAATATTACAACTGGACATTGACATTGAGCTAATTGTAATTTGATGAGTTTTACGCTCTTCAAAAGATTTTCAGGTCACTTAATTTACTTTCTTAATCAATTTCGACAAATGAAAGCACTAAAAGTGTTAAATTTTATTTTTTGCATTTCAACTTTTTCAAATTCTCAATTTCCATTTTTTCAGCATCATAATCAATTCTCATTTTCTCATACTTAGCAGATAAATGGTATTAATTAACCGCAAATATATTACAATTAGAATGGCTATTAGGCTCATCAAGGTGAATCTTAATCACCACTAATGAATTGATTTCATGTTAGCTGAATCGATTTTTAATGTTACTTTGAACCTAGCAATTCAGTCAGTCTTTCAATTAGAACTAGCTTTCAAGCTAAAGTCAAATTTTGTCATTGATTAATAAATGAAATAATTTTGTCATTATCAAGCACTTTAATGGTAATTTGGTTTGAGTTAGCAATGTTTTGGTTACAAACTTGAAAAAGTAGCAAAAATTTGACAGCGAGTGTTCAGTGCAAATGCCATTATTTGACAATCAACATATTAATACAAATCACAGTAATGGTCAGGGTTAAGTTAACAAAAAAAGGTCACACTTAGTATTAGGTGTCACCATCTATTTAGTTTGTAGAGACAAAAAACAATGTAATGAAAACTGAACAAAATAAAGTTCCACCTTATTGGTACTTTGATTAGAGGGCGACTATGAAAAGTCTCCAATTTTGTAACTTAGGTCGACATACAGTAGTGCTTACCCAGGGTTAAGTCCCTTCGACTATCCCATCCTCAGTTGAGTTGGATAAAGCTTAGTGCCTATGGGTAGGTAAAACACCTAGCATGGGTTGGACGCACCTTAAAAGCTGTTGCGACTGGCCGGTCCACATGAGCAAGAGTTAACTTAACCCTGGCTCTTACTGTATAACATTGACTTAAGATAATAACATTGAAAATGAGCTTTGATTAGCAATACAAAGTGAAAGTCAGGTGAAAAATCAGTGTTTTTATCTCTCGAATGATATATTAATATGAACATAGAATTAAATAAAGACAAACGTAATAAGAACGTAATAGTCAAAATTATGAGGAAAAAACAAAATAGAATATGAAAAATGAATAAAAGACAATTAAGAAAAGGAAATCGGTAATTGTAAGATAAAAGGAATGACAATTAAATGACAGTTTTGACATGATAAACAAGTTGGTTTAGACGAGTTATAACAATCATAACTTGGTTAGGTAACAATGAAAGGTTAACAAGTTAGAGTTAAATGTTTTATAAATGTGAACAATTTAAAGTAAGTACGTTAACACAGTTAATAGCAAATTTAAATTAAGGAAATGATAGACTGGAAAATATATTAACTGAAAAGCTGGATTAAATTAAGAAAATTTTGAATCGTGTTTTGCAAAATATCTTGGTAAATGTAGTTTTTTTGGTAAAATATTTCAAAATTTTCTCAAAATGTCGATTTAATTGAATTTGACAAAAAATTCGATATTAAATGGCGTGATGATTATTCTGTTAGGTTTTAGGAAGATTATAAACATTAACATTATTAAATAAAGCTTTCGATAAAATCTTGAATCTCTGATAAAAGAAGCTTTGTCCATCTTTCAATCTGACGTTGGATAATCCATCAAAATAGGTGATCCACTTTGTAAAAATCTCAAGGCTTGAGTGTATTTTGATCTTCATGCTGATCAAGTCACTTGTTTTTGCTTTTGCTTTTCTTTTCCTCAAAAAAGGGTTATTAGGTTGACAGGCATCTTTCATGGCATAACAGGTATATCTCTGGGTATAAAATATTAATTTATAATAATCCAAATAATGGCTATGATTGTAATTAAAATTGAGCCTTTTTGTGTGCTTCGCCATAATTTTTTCCTTTATGGTTGTCACTCTTTAAATGTTGTTTGAATCATCAAATCACAGACAGATCATAACGATTAGGATATTGAAGGTGTTGAACCATTGTTTTGTTTCAGCTTTTGAACGCTTGTCATCATTATTTCTTTCTGAATCAAACAATGACTTGTAATATTAACAGAACATAAAATCAAAACTATACTTTGGCGAAATGGTAAACCAGCTAAAAATTAATAATAACAATTGTTATAAAAAGGATAAAAGGAAAGAGCGAAAAAAGGGTTAATGAATTGAAAAAAGACAAACTAATGTAATATCCAAAATGAAGACCAAAAATGCTTTTCTTTGTTGGCAATAACAATAGGATAAATGATAACCAGAGTTGCTTTCAGTTCTTTGGTGAGTGGTTATTGCACCAAAACAAAAAGGAATGTATAAAATTTAAATTGCCACAATGTGATTGACCAGAGTGAAAGAGAGCTTTGTTGCTTGAATTTCCTCAGCTTAGGATGCCAACGAAACATGAAAATAAATCGTCTTTAAACCGAGGTGACCGTCCAGTATCTACTGTTTTCTTGTAAAGGGGGAGAACGTAGAGGTTGATTCTCATCAGTCAGACAGTTAGGTTGATCAGGCGAATTAGCCTCATATTTACCATGAATTTCTTTGTGAGTTGGTGATGTCAAACGTCCATTACTCATTGAATGATTTCGATCGTTCTTTGGTTGTATTAGCTGCTTTTGTTGTGGCGGGATTATAGACTGCATATTCCGAGGTAAAGATGCTGTTTTTGAATTGCTTTTTTCGTAACTATTTATCTGAGATCTTTTGACCGGAGGTGAAACTGATCGAGAATCTTTTAATAAAGCTTTAGTTGCGTCATTTGATCCTCTCGAGGGTAATGTTGAATAAGCTCGGGCTCCACGAGAAGGTTGGTTATAATTGCTGACAGTTTGGTGATTGCTTTTGTTTCCATGTAATGAAGAATCTGAGAGCAAAAGGAGGGATAAAATTACATTGATATGTTGAAATTAGAAAATAGCAAAATTAGAATCAATCACCGAAGTAACAAAATGAGTAATTTAAGTGTTGATTTTTTTCCTACCTGAATTAGGATGACTATTAGATGATAAATTATCTTGACTATTACAAGAAACTGGAGATGGTCGATTAGAGATTGAAGATGAAAGATGATAAGTCCAATGGTCGAAGGGTCTGTTTGAACTGATTGTGCTGTACGTTGATGACGAACCATTTGATGAGCCTGAACAAGAATTTATTGGTGAGATAAATGAAAGAGTTGATCTTTGGTAAAATAAAATGTACGCATCCGAGGTGACAACAGATTTCTCTGATATTGGAGAAACATTTTGATCATCAAATGAGTACCACTTTCCATCCACAATATTTCGACAGTAAGCCGTATAATGGCCTGCCTGCATGTTGCCATGATGATTGCAAACTGCATAGAGGTGGTAGACATTATCCTCTGACCGAGAGGAACAACTTTTACTGTGAGATGGTCGGCGCCAAGGTGAAGGGAGATAAGATGATGAGTTACGCAAATTATTATTGTTGACAAAATCAACAGTATCACCATAATTATTGTTACGGTTGCTCAAATAAGGATTCATATCAAGGCCAGAAAGTGGGAAAGAAACTAAAGTTGTCAATTTGGTTCTCGATGAATTGGATGCTTGACGGAAACGCTTTAAATGTATTATAAATATATCTGGAGTTGACCAAAGAGATAACTTCTTTATACATTGTTGACGCCGTTTACAAGCTGGACACATCCATGCATTATCAGCTCCTAATCGTTCTTCTCTGAAGTACATTTCGAAGCAATCTTTCAAAGAAGCCGTGTTAGCCATTTCATTACGTGCTTTAACAAATTCAATATTGGGATCGTCAATTATTGTTATGATATCATCATCATCCACTAAAAGTGTTTGTCTCAAATCAAGATCCCATTCAATGATTAATTTTAAATGGATCGGTCCTCGGTAATCACTTTCTTCACAATGAGACAAAGCCTTATCAACTGTTGGCATATAGAGAGGATGATCAACATCTTCAGGAAGGTAACATTTACCTAGGAATGAGAAAAGATAAACATTAGTTGAATTCAATTCAGATTTAAAATAAAAATAAGCCAACCTGGTAATCCATCGACAACTTTTAGGCGGAAAAGTGTCGAATCTTTGATGATTGCAAGATCGCATGTTTTTCTCAAAATTGGAGACATAGATTTCATAAGCCAATGTTGAATTTCCTTGAACGATGATTCTCGAGGTAAAGTGCAGCTAAAGAATGGACCGAAAACTTTACTTTCGCTACCAATACCAACCCGATTAACCCAAAGCAATGTCAAAGGTTGAGATGAGGCAAAGTTAATTGGAGATGATGAGGGTGTCAAGGTGGGTATACCATTGGAAGAGTATACTCCAGATGTCCAGTCAGGAATAGCAGGAGTTTCAATGGCTTCTACTTCTACTTCATTAACATCTTCCAAGATTTCATGCATGGTAAGTTTGTCCTTGATCAATTCTTTCAATCCAACTTCGTGTTCTTTAATCAACAGAACCAACTGACGTTCAGGAATTTTAACCAATCGTGAAATTTTATCTCGCAATTCACGAAGAGTTGCTTGAGCTTCAATGGCAACAACCATCCGCACCTTAACAATGAAAAGAAAGGAAAAGTAAAGATGCAATTAGTATAATTGTTTATAATTATTCTCTTAGAATAATAATGTTGAAGTAAAATATAATATAAAGATTTCCATTGAAACTTACAATTTTTGTAACATCATCCAAATAAGAAACATTTATTATGACAGTGTGTGTGCGTTTGATTGGTACCGGAAGTGAAAGGCACATATAGGGATCAAAGGTATTGCTGTAATTGTTACATGATCGGCAGACCAGAGAGGAGCAGAGTTGAGCTTGAAATAAATCATGAATAAAACTGCTATCACATCGCATATGATAAGCTAATGTTTCGGCAGCAACAAGCTCGTCTGGTTTGTTCCAACTTTTCTGTATTTGCTGAGTAATAATAGATGAAATAAGAATATTAATTATCATCAAATGGAATGAAATAATAAGATGAGAAGTGAAAAACAAATGAAAGATGAGATAGAAAAGAAAGTAAAACTGCATAGATTTCAACAGATCATCATGATGATAAAATTGTTGATGAAAATTAATGCATTCAATCAATAAGTTGCTGTTTCTCTGTTATAAGTGTGATTAACCAAAAAATAGAGAGTAAAATAAATGTTAAAGATAATCGCTGTTTGTTGTCAGCAACATTTAATTGTCTCACTGCCTTTGCTAATTATCAATTAGAGTGAAACGTGTTTTGTTTTTGTCACTGTTATGTGCTATTTTTTGGGTTAATTGAAACTAAATCTCATTAAAATATGAATAATAATTTTAGCTTATAATAACAAATAATTACTATATTTACGGTTTTGCTTTATATTTGCTGCTTCTTCAAGAATAAATAATGTCACATTGTTGATTCTCTTTAAGTTATAATATAGCTAATCAAAGCTCTCAAGTTTCTTGCTACAGCAATAAATATTTGAACTGATAACAACAAATAAAAACAAAAAGGAGGAAATGTGAACATAAATCCTTCTCTATCATCACTATTGACAACTTGAGTTGAATAAAAAAATACAGATGGCTATAAAACTACATTGTTTATACACAATAACTGTAAGAAATAAGATAAATACCTTCAGCTTTTTCGACTTTTTCTTGGTTGCAATATTAAGGTCTTCATGGAAAATATCCAATAGAAAGAATAAAAATTCTTGGGCATCATGTTGATCACTACCTTCATATTGTTTACAGTGTTTTGAAACAAGATGCTTAAACTTATTAGAAATATCAGGAGAGTAAGAGTTAGTCCAGAGAGATTTAAAAACTAGGGCACATTGGGAGGTTACTTCACCATGAGAGCCGTATTTACACAAGTTTAATTGATTATGTTTAACCAAATCAATTTTATAATGGCTCATAACAAAATATTCAGCCAATAAATCGGTATTAGATAAACATTGAAGAATTGCATTCATGAAACAAGTATTTCCATGGTTTTTGATACCACAAATGGCCAATGGTTTAGACTCAATTGGTTGTGGCATTGAAGGAGATGGACTGATAAGTTTGGAACTAACATCTTGGCTTGATTGAGATGATGACAATTGATGTCGCATAGTTGCATAAGTTGAGGCATGTCTTGGATGTCTCTTACTAGATCGAAGAGTACTACTTTTTTCTCGGCTTTGACGGTGATGGCTGGAATGGTGATCAACGACATTGGAACTTCCATTATGGTATGAAGAGTTGGAGAGTGAATGAGATGAAAGATTGCGTATCAAACGGCTAAAGAAACTTTGTGACCGTTGGTGTTGATGATGGTTAACCATGAAATTTCACTTGGTTTACATAAGCAGCAGGAAAAGTGACTCGGTCTGTCAGAGTGAAAAAAAGCGATCAAATTTAAGGCAATACACCTAAGAAACAAAATGACAGCCTTTAGTTAGAAAGATCAAGTAACATTATCACAGTAGCAGAAAGAAACTAACAATTTTCACGATTGAGAAACAAAACGTACGATAAAAATATGTTATAAAATATTGGAAAACGGTGCAAGTTTAAAAAAATTAAATTATAACAACGATAACTTTGGTAATTACCCTTTTTGAAATACCATGGACAGAGCCACTTTCCCACTGTTTAAAGAAAATAATTATAATTAAAAACAAGAACCGTCATATTTAACTTATACAGTTTACATTTCATTTTCATTTACCAGTATGGTTTATTAATGCACCAGATGGAGACTAACAAATAGACAAAACTTACAATATGAGCAACACAAAAGCGGTTCATTTGAAATGTTCATTTCCTTTTTTTTATTCTCTCCTTTCATCAAGTTTTTTATTCATTGCTATTGTAAAATTATTGAATCAATTCTGATTAGCTTCGGTAAAATTACCTTTAATAGGAGCGGCCCCTAAATTGCCCTTAAAAATTCTAGATTTTAAATGTGATTGTGTTTATTGTCTTATTTCTAATTGTAACAAACAACCCAAAAGTGTAACCAAATTGTTCCCACAAACCTTTAACAAATCAGGCCAACTAACCAGTTTTATTGGCTAATAAAGAGACTCAGTAAATGGTTAAGCTTGAATAAACACAATAATTTGATTTTTAACATGATAATGACTCAATCTCAAACGTATTTTAACGACATTTGTTAATCAAGATATTAAAAATACGATTGATTCAATCTACTGATCAATCAAATCAACATTGATCTTTCATTCGAGTAACCAAAGTGTCAATGCTTGACTTGTTAGAGGCATTTTGTCCAATTTTATAAATGAATCATGAGAAATCAATTTTAAATTATTGAACAGATAGTAAAATAGATGATTAACTTACATGTAACATGGATTGAATTGAGCAACGAGAAATCATTAAACTGATAATGTTAAATCTATCACGATATTTTTGGTCAACCAAAATTACTAACAGTACAAAACAGAGTTACCATTGGTTACCTTAACCCTATGAAAATACAAACAAATCTCAATTTCTCGAAAAGTTGTTGGCTTTTTTTTCGGTGCAAATGTTTTATTCTGGTTTAACTTTGATTAGTGAAACTGGTCAAGTCTGAAATCAAAAGTTGAAATAGCCAACAGGACTCTAACCAACATGTCTACTCGCAGACGAAACACTGAGGAATCAGGCGATGAGTTTTCGGAGGAAAGGATCAGATTAACTGGTAAGCTTTGTTTTATTAATTTAGCAATTGTTCAAACAAGGTGATCTAATTTATTTATCTGTCTGTTACAGGTAAAAATATTGCCAAAAGTTGCCTGATGCTTCAAATATCTCTTTATTTCAACATATATTTTTCGCCAATTTACTTCATTACCCTTTATCTTTCTTACCAACGTTTTGTGAGTAAATATTAACAAATATAGCTTTTTATTACATTTTTAAGGAAATGGCTATTACAACTAATCGATTTGATGATTTACTTTTTTAGGAAGATGAATTGAAAGAAATGGAAGTATTTCTAACCAAAACTTTACTCATTATTGGAAGCATTATTGAGATACCCAGACTGTATTTAGGTTATACTGGTAATTATACGCACCGGGTAAGCGATTGTACATTGAATGTGTATTCATCAATATTTCAGATCAAAGATACTTTATTGAGTTTTCTCAATATTTATTTAGATATTGCGGAGCATTAGTTTTTCAAATTTAATTTACAAATTTGTTTTTCTCTCATTTTATTCTAAAAGGTTCCTCATATACTTTGTTTCTGGCTAATGACAACATTCATTCAATTTCCTGTTCAATTAATGATGAGAACAAGTCCATTAACCGTCAAACCTTTCCTAGCTACAGTTAATGTAGTCATGGTTATATTTTTATTTTTTGAAATTTCTGTCTGTTTCTTTGTTTTTCGTTGGTTACTCAAGCTAATTCCTAAAATCAAACAAACGTAATTCTCGCTCATAATCTATTATCAACTCGGATTATTGCATCGTATTGTGTTACCCATGTTTTACACCCAAGCCATTACAATAAATCAATTGCTAAGTGCATTTATTACCAATCGACAACTCAACATGATTAACTGTGGAACTGATAACAATCAACATCACAATATAATCCTTATAAATAAATGAATTTTTGCATTCATTAGCATAGAGATTGATCCATCTCTCTTTCCAAATTGACCTTTTAATTATAGTAATTTTCCATCTGATATTTAATTTACACAGCTGAAATCGATGTTGACCCTTGAATAGTAGTTCAAATTTGAGATAAGATTGATCTTGAATGATCAAAAAAGATATCCACCAAATAAAATAAACACTTCTTAAGCTGAGGTTAAAATTTTAAGCACAACTTATACCAATAAATTGAATGATCTTTCTTTATTTTGATTTTAGTCCATGAAAATCTTTGGCTTTTGATGCGTTTGATTTGATTTTACACCTTAACATTTGACATTTTGTTGAATATTTGTATTTTCAACCAACGAAAATTAAAGTCTATTTGGTGATAAATAAAGAGAAAATTGATCTCTTAACAAGTTGTGATGATGCTTTTTGATCGTTTGATGGATTTAGTTTACAATTAAAATACAAAAACTGCGGCAGAAAAATAAACCAGCAGACTCGTTTTTACCACTATAGATGGCGATGCTAGTCCTTATAATTTTCAGTGCTAATTGCAGCAAATTAATATTAAATTTGATGCGATTCTTGTAACTACAAAGTCATTACACGGTAATTTAATCACTATTAACGCCCATTAGAGTTGCTGAAATCTTGGGTGATGTCAAAGTAGTCATCAATTTGTACGAGCAACAATTTGGCTCGTTGAGAAAGTGAAATAAATCAAACTCCAAATCGTAACTTCATTATTCCAATTCTTGTTTTATTACCATCATCATCATCGAAAGCTTCTTGAGCTGGTTTACCGGTACACAATTTGATCAATCGATCAAAAACTATGATTATTCCTTTAAAAACAACAGCTAAACCTAAAATTCCAAGTAAGATCACTTGAAAGGTTGACTTGTTTAAAGTTAAGCTTGATATTATTGTCATATGAGTTGTGTACAATAAATGGTAGATTAACTCAAATCTTAGCCATCTGCTTTGATTAAATTTTTCAATCACATGAAAAGTATATAATAAAATAAGTAATGTGTTGAGTCCTGCAACAATGGATGAAAGGTAAAAATAAATGTCTCTCAAAAGGCATTCGTCTCGTGTCACGGGATCAACAGCAGCACCTGATTCAGAAAAAAACGTAAAATAATTAGAATAGTAAATTGATTACGTTAATAGTACTTTTGGTCATTTAAAATCTACTTACGCTTACAATGAGGTCGTAATGTTGCAAGTATGACAGCAGCAACAACACACTCGGCAACCATAATCATTAAACATTTTGCTAGGCAAGAAGTGAGATATTTCCAATCACATAAACAAACAGACCTTGATTTAGTAGTCCTTGGTTTAGTTCGGGCACAAAGTTCAGGTAAACGGGGCAACAGCTCATTTAAACGAATCGTCTCTGAACTTGCAGTACTAAAGGTCGACTTCTCAACCCCAGAGCTTTTAATTGCATTAGATACAGTAGATACATTAGATGTATTAGATCGAACCTTAACAATTTTAGCATCCATTTCATTTGAAAATATTTATATCCTTTGCGAGTAGATACTGTTAAGAAAGAATGGAGAAAGAAAATAATTTACTTTGAATGCAGATATAAAATACCGAACATTGAAAAATGTAAACCTTTTGAATTACATTCATGTATTTCTAGGTAGATTTGTCTGGATTATTAGAGACCAGAACAAATTAAGTTACATTAAATTGACTTCTTTGCATTAATTTACGTTTAATTTAGATAAATTACCTTTAAAATTGGATATATGATGAAAGGAGAAAGCAGAGAAAGTGGAAAGATAAACATATTGTTTCCTTTGTTTTCTTACCCATTCCTTTCTAAAGCTTTCTTATGGTCGCTTGATGAAATTAAGGTCATTTAGTGACCTTTGTCCTTTTGTTACTCTTTATGTCACTAGTCAATCCTGTTCCAATTGTGATATTAACCCGTTACTGGCAGAAAAGCGAGGGTGTAAATGATGAAGATATTAACAAAGGCAAAGTTTTACTGTTAACAATTGACAAATCTTCAGCTACGCGCTATTGAATGACAAATAAGTTGTTTCTTATGCTGAATTAACAATTGCACATTCAGATGGCATTACTTTCCTGCTATGTTTCTTTATTGAAAATAACAATAATAATTGTATTATATACGAAAATTTGGGTCATTGTCTTGCATTATTTAGTCTTTTTTGCTGTTATTTATTTGTATTATTCGGTATTAATAAGTCACCCTCATATCCATCGGCACCGCTAGTAAACAACCTTCATTTCACTTCATATTTTCACCGTGTTAACTCTTGCTCTTTATTGTAATAATTTTTGTTGTCCATTCATTTTGTGATCCAAGTCAATTGTAATGTCTAATAATGGTGACGATGCATTTTGCTCCATTTAATCAATTGTCCAACTCCTGCCAATCAACAATGAAAGTCCATAATAGGTTAATTTTGATCCAGAGGGTCATCTGTTAACCATTTTGTCCTCTTTCTTCCCTTGCTTAAAATTCACTATTGACCATAACGGAGCAACCTATGGAGTAACCTTTTTAAATTGTTACAATTTGTCTGATTAAGATTTATATCTATTTGATAGTCACTGATTAGTTCCAAGTAAAGCAATGAAGTGTATTTATCTAGATTATTTGGTAGCATCATTCATTGACTACAGACTTGCATGTCAAAAATAGAGTGAATTGAACAAATTGTTGCTTCTCGGTAAAATGAAACATAAAGGAAAGTCAATTGCTGAATGAAAGTGGTTTTGCTTCAAAGTAATCAATTTTAATAATGCAAAAAAGTTCAAGTAATTTAAACACCTTTATCGTTTATTAAATGAACAGTTTCATCTTAACTACAGTGTAAAGTAAGGATTAAGTGAGCCAATGATTCAATGAAAATGACATTTTTAACCAAAATTACTTTGTCTCTGTAAAATCATTAATCATTTTCGCAGTTAACCAACTCTTAATCCACAAATAAAATAACTGGATGCATAAATTAAGTATCAAGTGTAACAGTTGAAAGTTTAAAAGATAAATGACGATCGAAATATTAATCAAGTAAAAATCAATTTAGAGATACATTGCCATCAAATCAATGATCTATCGAGAATTAATTTTTCATTTCAAACGTTATTTCTCATAATGACCATGCTCTTCATATCTGCAACACTCTGAATAGATCAAAGCTGCTTTTGTTTTCACCATTTTTTTAAGTTTACTGCATTTACTTGAAGACAAAGGTTTATTCGGCTTGAAATGGAAATTTCCAAAATTTTTCTGGTATCCAGTTGTGTAGCTCTAATCTTAGCGTACATAACAAAATATAATTGATGAGTGATATAAGTGGTTTGGTGCATAAATAGTGAACTGTACTTTTTTTCTGATAAATATCAATCAAATTGTAGACTAAACAGATTGTCAGATTCGTTGATAGTTCAAAAACAAAAGACATCACATTTGTTTGCATGTCGTGCTTACAATCCCTTATCATATGTGAATTTTTCTGATATCAGTATCAAAATCATTCGGTGATTTGACTTCGGACTAATATACGAACAAGTAACTAGTAAGATCATTTTCAGAGTCCATCACTTCCATCAAATAATTATCCAGTTTAAAGAGATGGTTTGACTATCACGTTATCGATAACACAGAGAAAACAATATATCGATAACTCTTTTCAATGATCGATAACAAATTACATAAGTCATTGTGTTACATCTTATGATATTTAGGTCCGGGATGAAAGACGAAAAGGTTAAAAAAGGTTAAAGAGGCAAAAATACCAAAATTAAGTCACTTTTTAGCAATTTTTGATGAACAGTGTTGGATTTATATTATAATCACAACAAGGACAGTAATTCTTGAATATTAACTTGTAAGCTTAAAGCTCTGTTTGAACTCACAACCAGCCACTGAAACTCTACCAGCTTCAGCTGGGAGCTCAATGGCATAAACTGGTAGTAGTGAAGGTGTTAGATGTTTTCATTACGTGATTTTAGTCATTTTAACCCTTCCTTTCCTTTTTTGTCTTTTAGTCCAGACCTGATTTTCTTAACATTTGTTTCAAATACCGATCAAAATGATTAAAACTATCTAAAGTTATGGTTTTCTTTCTAGAATTGTTCATGTATTTCTTCTATTGTTAAATATTATCGGTAACCATACATGCAATAACTATCGATAACTAACAATAATTTATTTTTCTGTTATCGTCAAGCTCTATCATCTACCAAATTTGGAGTATTAATGGATGAAATTAACGATTTCAACACAAAATAGAAGGTAAATATTTTTCACCATTTATTCCAGATAAAGATATCTAAGATAATCAATTGTTCATTTTACATACTAGGATTAGTAAAGCAACTTTAAGCGCTTGCTTAACATTGATTGTGAACTGAGAATCCTGTATAAAACAGAATCTTCAGCAAGCTCGATCATCATTTCTTGTTGCAATTTCGCTTCACTGAGTACTTTCAAGATGAAACTCTTTCTAATTCTCACTCTCTTTGTTTATTCCGTTAGTGCTTCTAGACACACGTATATATCTGCTGATTTGGATCCATTGACCGATGAAATTATTGATGCAATCAACGCTTTGAACACAACATGGAAGGTAAATATTTTTTATGCTTTATTTAAACGAGACGTTTAACAATCATTTTTTTCTCACTAGGCTGGTGCAAATTTCCATGGGTCCAAAAAAATCAAAATAGACAAGTTGGTTACCATTCAAAATGAAACATTCAATGACCATTTTACCAATAAAACATATCCTACAAAATTACACGAACATTTGCCGAAAAGCTTCGATGCTCGTGTAGTTTGGCCTAACTGCACTTCGATTGGTAAGGTTTATGACCAGAAGAAAGGTTATCCTTCATGGATTTATGCTGCTGTTGGTTCAATTGCTGATCGTCTTTGCATCCAAACTGGAGCGGAAATTGACGTTGAAGCTACCGTAGAGCAAATCATCAGATCGAACGGTGGTTTCAACAGTAAATATAACAGTGCAAACATTGGTCAAGCTTTTAATTATTGGTCTAAAAAAGGAATTTTCACTGCAAAATCATCCAAAGGTTCAAGTTGCTTACCTCTTTCCTCAAAATGTAACCAAAATGACTTCAAATTAGATAAGTATTATAAAGTTACTGTTGAGTCACCAGATATATGGCTTGACAAGATGAGAGATATAATGGTAAATGGTCCTTTACCTGCTTACATGGAAGTTTATTCAGATTTTCCCAGCTACAAATCAGGTAAAAGTTAACAAAAGATATTTACTTGGAGATCGGTTTTAATAATGAAATAATTTTCTCTTCAGGTGTCTACCAAAGTGTTTCTCACAGATTCTTAGGAATGCATAATGTTAAACTTATTGGTTGGGGAGTTGAAAACGGTGTTCATTATTGGTTAGTAACTAACTCATGGGGCACTGAATGGGGTAATGAAGGTAAGTTTTAGAGTTTCTTTCACGCTACAATCAACAATGCAAAGCAAATTTACTAATTTTGTTCATTACATATTACAGGTTTCGCCAGAATTCGTATGCAGCGTGCTGATTTCGATGAATCCATGCCTTCCGTTACATTCGAGTTGGTAAACACGCCATCAGATATTCCTAAAGCCTACCAACAAGATCAATTATTTTACCTGGCATAAATGGTTACATTACTCGATCCCTCGTCTTTTTGAATTTCAATTTAAAATGAAAAACTTGAAAACCATCTTAAGATTTTACATAAAGTACATCAAGTACTGGTTATTTTTTGTGAAAATAAAATTTTAATTATCATTCATATGAGCAATAATTTTTATTCGTATTCAAAAGGAACCACAAAATAAATTCAATGAGAGTTTCGCATTAAGATTTAATTTTCGATTTTCACAATGTAAGAAAGTTCAAGTAATTGGACGCGTTTATTAAATTAACAGTTCCATCTTTATTACCCTGTAAAGTAAGGATTGATCGAGCCAGTTGATAAAGTCAGACTGATAACAGTAGTGAAAGTTTGATAAATAAATGATAACCAAAATATTAACATGTAAATGAAGTAAAAATCTACTTAAAGACACAATGGCCTAGAATCAATAATCAACCGAGAAGAGTATCGTTCATTTCAAACCTGATTTCTCGTGACCATACTTTCCATATTTGCAACACTTCGATTAGATTAAAGTTTTCATTTTGTTTGCACCATTTTTCAAGTTGACTGAAACATAAAAGTCAATCTTTGATAGTTTAAAATCAATCCAATTCATTTATTGTTATCCCAGTGTATAGCTCTAATCTTATAACACATAATAAAATGTTATCGGTAAAAATTTTGATTTTGACATTGACATTAGCATCGTTTGATCCTGATTGTTTATAACCTGAATACGGCCAACTATTTACAATGACAATTTGTATAATGACAATGGAAGATAAAACGTCTAACATTTAGCTTTAATCAGAACCTAAATCTTGAATGCACTGATAAAATTCACACCTAACAATCACAGTTCGTAAGCACTAGTTGAGTGCTTGATTTAAGTTCTGCGTACTTACTTTATTTCTGCAACAGTTTGCAACTTTTAATTTTCCTCAACCCTGTTCAAACGATGATTTCTCAGTAACCTGAATTCTGATTCATCTCTGACTATTTTCGGATACGTAGTTCAATCATCCATTTTCAGCTATAGAGAAGTTTCTCTAGAATCCTTTCAATTCAGCAACAATTTTGTACAAAAATTTAATGCTGTGATTTTATATATTAAAGTTTAATCTCCCTTCAATTTACAAAATCATTGCATGATAATCATTTACAATATTTATTAAAAATCTATGAAACTGCTTTGACCATCGATTGACTATCTGTAATGTATTGATATTATATTTACAGGACGTTGATTTTAACTAAACAGATTGAGATTCCATAAAGGCTACAAAGGCTGTTTCATAAATAAAGAGACACATTAATAAATTGCCTTAACTCATTTAAATAAGAAGTTTGAGATGATTTAAGTAGCATATTTGATAGACGGAAAATGTACAAAAACGAGTAGAAAGTGATTTTCTTTACAAATAAGTCTGCCAATTTTATGTTGAAAATGCAAAAAAAAGTTTTGAAACAGTTTTGCACATTTTCAAAAGGAAGGATTAAAACATCAATCTGGCCTGACTTGTTAGTTCGCAAACATTAACATAAAGATGTCATTAAGTTTCTGAATGAAAATGGAATCGAATTCGTTTCAAAACAGTAAATGCACCAAACCTTGCTATGAGTTGCTCATTCGAAGAATTTTGGACATCATGTGAGCAATAATATGTGAAAAGATTAAATATGCCTAAAAGTCTATGCGATTTCACAAATAATCTGAAAAATTCATAATTAAAAGTCGCAACAAAATCAGGTAAAGCTCTTATGGCTAACCTGAAATCAAAATTACGTAAAAACAGTTTATGTCAAGAATTATAAACGTAAGATAGTTTGTATTACATGCTCTCAATCTCTTAGTCATCCGCATATTTACGTACTAATTCCGAGAACTTGATACTGATTTAGATTACTTGTTTCTGCAACTGACTTTTCAACGTAATCAACTCAACTAATTACAACCAAACATTGAAAAAACCAAATATCAAGAAACGCATTGCTGTAGCGGTTATCGATAACTTGCATAAGCCATTGTGTTACGTTTAATGTTAATTATGTTTTTCTTGGTATCATTTTCCTATCATAATTGGTTTTTGCTCAATATTGTCGCAATATTAGCAAAATTTTATATTCAATAACAATAACAGTAATTTTTCTGTTATCATCAAACTCTATCATGTACCATATTTGGAGTATTAGTAGATGAAATTCAATTTCCAACACCTTCAGCACAAAATGAAAGTTAAATATTTTTAACCATTTATTCAAGATAAAGATATTAAAGATAATCCATTGTTCATTTTACATGTTACGATAAGTGAAGCATCTTTTAGCGATTGCTTAACATTGATTGTAAACGCAGATTCATGTATAAAACGGAATCTTCATCAAGCTCGATCATCATTTATTGTTTAAATTTTGTCTCAACTGAACTAAAACTTGTAAAACTTTCAAGATGAAACTCTTTTTTATTGTTTCTCTTTTTGTTTATTCCATTAATGCTGACGAGTATATTTCCAGTGATTTGGAACCATTAACTGATGAAATTATTAACGCGATTAATGCTCTGAACACGATATGGAAGGTAAATATTTTTGATACTTTATTAATCGGTAACGTTAAGCAAATATATTTTTTCTCATCAGGCAGGTAAAAATTTTGATGGGTCTAATAAAATTGAAATGGACAAGTTGATTGTCACTCATGAAGAAACATTTAATCAACATTTTACCAATAAAACATATTCTACAAAGTTACGAGAACATACACCGGAAACCTTCGATGCTCGGGTAGTTTGGCCTAACTGCACTTCGATTGGTAAGGTTTATGACCAAAAGAAAGGTTATCCTTCATGGATTTATGCTGCTGTTGGTTCAATTGCTGATCGTCTTTGCATCCAAACTGGAGCTGAAATTGACGTTGAAGCTACTGTAGAGCAAATCATCAGATCAAACGGTGGTTTCAACAGTAAATATAACAGTGCAAACATTGGTCAAGCTTTTAATTATTGGTCTAAAAAAGGAATTTTTACTGTAAAATCATCCAAAGATTCAAGTTGCTTACCTCTTTCCTCAAAATGTAACCAAAATGACTTCAAATTAGATAAGTATTATAAAGTTACTGTTGAGTCACCAGATATATGGCTTGACAAGATGAGAGACATAATGGTCAATGGTCCTTTGCCTGCTTACATGGAAGTTTATTCAGATTTTCCCAGCTACAAATCAGGTAAAAGTTAACAAAAGATATTTACTTGAAGATCGGTTTAATAATGAAATAATTTTCTCTTCAGGTGTCTACCAAAGTGTTTCTCACAGATTCTTAGGAATGCATAATGTTAAACTGATTGGTTGGGGAGTTGAAAACGGTGTTCATTATTGGTTAGTAACTAACTCATGGGGCACTGAATGGGGTAATGAAGGTAAGTTTTAGCGTTTCTTTCACACTACAATCAACAATGCAAAGCACATCTACTAATTTTGTTCATTACATATTACAGGTTTCGCCAGAATTCGTATACAACGGGCTACTTTCGGTGTACAATCATCTATGCCTTCCGTTACATTCGAGTTGGTAAAGACTCCTTCAGCCATTCCTAAATTATACCAACAAGATCAACTTTTTTGCTTGGCTTAAATGTTTATGTTACATGATATAACGTCTTACTCGAATTTTATCAATGAGAATTTCATTATAAAGGGAAAAACTTTAAGAAGTTCTGTAAGATTTCGAAAAAATCATTCTGAATACTTTTTTAAAATAAAATTTTTAATTTGCATTTTATCTTTTAACTAATGAACAGTACCATCTTAATTACAGTGTAAAGTAAGTATTAAGTGAGTCAATGATTCAATGAAAATGACACTTTTAACCAAAATTACTTTGTCTCTTCAAAATCATTAATCATTTTCAAGTTAACCAACTCTTAATCCACAAATAAAATAGCTGGATGCATAAATTAAGTATCAAGTGTAACAGTTGAAAGTTTAAAAGATTAATGACGAATATTAATCAAGTAAAAATCAATTCTGAAATGCATTGGCATTGAATCAACAATCTATGCACGAAAAGCATTTTTCATTACAAACGTTATTCACCAATCAATTTCAAACCCTTCCAGCTTCAAATCCCTTTCCCTTTTATGCTATATTTTTAATTTATTTTGCCTTCCAATTCACAGACTCTTCTTTATTCAACTGATTAGACTTACCTTACCTTATTAACCTAAACTCAACAATATCTATCCTCAAGTAATCTCATCGCTTAATATTCCGAGAATGCTCTTGTTCATAAAAATTAAATTTCGTTGCATCAAAGCGCAATTCTACAGTTTTCTTCAGTCATAATAGTCGAGCGATTTCGGCCAGACATGAAATTACTTTAACCGACCAGCTTAATCAGTAATTTCAGTAATTTTAGTAGATCTAATTCTGTCTTTCTAATGTTGAAGGCTTGAACTGAATCAGTGAACATTGTAATAAATCAATATTATAAAATAATAATGATAGTGTACCATTAAAGTGTGAGTTAAATCAATCATGTAAATGATTAAAACTGTTGCAGTGAAAAGCGAATCAGTTTGTCATTTAAACTATTCACAAGTTAATGGTGAAAAGTGAAAGGACACAAAGCCTGGAAGAACAAAGATGATCACTATTTAAATGTTCATCTTAATCTTCCATATAATCAACGAGGACAAGATTAACATGAAATATGACATTAAAATTAATTTTTACCAATGCTAACATTTAGCTGAACTGGCATTTCAGGGCAACACAAAAAACCATTACAAATCACTATCATTATTATAATTCAAGGATTGCCTGTTGAAATACCATTTCCATTGACATTCCTTGAGAAAAGAAAAATATTGCAAATGAAAGACCAAAAATAAGTTTACATTTACAAGAGACTGACAAGATTAACGGTTCAATAGATGCTGATCCGCTTTCAATATCACACACATTATCATCATCTTCATCATCCTCTCATCACCATTAACTTGACACACAGTCAGGTCAAAGGGCCAAAAAGTTGGTGACTTAAATTGAAAAAATATATAAAATAGCAAACAAATTGAATGCAAAAATTTGTCTCCATTCAAAATTGATTCACATTTTTCGAACCGTTGCTTGTTGCATTATTATTGAATACTTTATACGTGACTTTTGAGATGGACCAAGAAGATGATGATGATGAGAAGAGCAATGATGAAGAATGACTTGTGGAGATGAAATGATGTGGATAAAAGATAAGGTATGAAATCCATTGAAAGACAATGGATATCATTTCACCAGACATGAGCTTCAATTGATCTCAAGAGGCAAAAATTGTAATTTTCAGTTGGACTATCAAATTGGCGATAATGACAATGATGACAATGGTGAGGATCAATATGATGGTACATCTTACAATGTATAGAAATGAGTCGATGAATTATACTTGGATAGTTCCATTCAGGGTTTATTATTTTTCATCTTTACCCTCTTACAAGGGAAGTGCCTTTACTTGTACTATCATTTTCATTTTTTTCTGGTTTATATTTTAAAGGACGAAAAATAACGATAAACTAATTTTGGTAGCAAAAACAATGATTTTTAGGTTTTCTGGTAAATCATTTTTCCAAGTCTGATATTTTCTCGAAAACATTAATGAATCATTCGAGACTTTATATCGTAAATCAAGAGACATTTTTACATTAAATGTTTCACACTTTTCACTTGTTAATTGACATTTATTGCTGGCAATTTGATTGTATTTAATAGTCAGTAAATTGTTTTTACAGTAACAGTTTTATTGGAAGCGTTTATTTGGTTTAACAACATTTATATTTTTGTTTTGTTTCAATGAATATTGAAAATAAATATCGAGATTTTGGAGTTTTATCTTCCCTGTTCTCATCCTTTTCATTCTCATTTTCACCATTTTATAAAAAATTTCAGGGAAAATTGACAATGAATAGAGTAAATGCTGGTTAAGGGAAGGTTTCACTTTTCAGGTTTTGTTTCAAGTTAAATGAATTGACTGAGCAAATTGTTTCATTGATTGTTGATATTAAATTAAATTTTAACCGCAAAAGAAACAATATTTTGTCAAAGCTTTGTGGATCCTCTTTTGTTTCATTATTGTAAATCATTTATAAATGGATATCTTTTTAACCAAACATCATTATGGTAATGAATCAACTCTTTCTGCTTCATAATTAAGATATTATTATAATCATTGCATTTAATTGACTGGCAATGATAATTACCATATGAATATAATATATCTTCTGGACTCAATTAAAATTTGAATGGCAACAAAAGTTTACCCACAAAATCAACATTTTAAATGATGATGAATCAAAGCTGGTTTCAAGTTTGAACCTGGAACTTTGTAGTGATCAAATTAAAAGGGAACACAAATTTAAAAGAAAAATCAACTACAACAAAGTATATTTTAGAAATTTTATTGTTGGTCAGAAAAGTCACAAATCTAACCATTGTTAACTGAAAAACTGCACCGATTGAGGTCTCAGTCTGGGTTTATATGGGAGAGCTCCCAATGCCTAGCGGCCAAATGTTTCAGAAAAACAAAAAGATTAGGAGAAGGGTAATTCGAAAGGATTTAAGAGAGATGGTTAATCTGTTGAAAAAGCGTTAACTTGAGAGATAATTAGGAGTGCTCTTTACCGAGCGCTCTTTAAGGATGGCTCTTTATGGAGCGCTCTTAATGGAGCGCTCTTAAGCGAGAGCTCGAGATTGTAGCTTATTCTATTTATTATTTCAAGAAAAAAAGTAAGACTACCACATTCCCCCTTACTTAGACTTTTCCCTCCTGGGATAATAAGGTCTACAGTTCCTTATATGGGCGAAATGGTCTTTTCCATCGTTTTCATAGATGAGAGTCTTCTGGCTTCCATCTATTTCTTTTATTTGCTTTATTTTAAACGGTCCGTCAAACTTGTATTTCTTTCCAACTTTCCCTTTGCTTACCAAGATCATTGATCCCACAGTGTATTTTACTATTCTCTTGATGCCTTTATTAGCGTATTCTTTCATTTTCTGTCGGTATCTCATTTGCTGTTCTTTGTCAAAAGCTCGTTCTGAGAGCTCACAGTTACCAATCACTTCGAAATGCTTATCTGCTGGTAACCAATCGGTGTAGCCAAACGCCTTGAAAAATGGTGAGCAACCAATGGCTCCATTGTACGCACGATTGTTGTGCTTTGCTGCGGCTTCTACTGCTTTTTTCCATCCACCAGGAAAGTCGAGGAAACAATCGCAGAATATCTTGATTTTTTGCACGTGTCTCTCAGCCATTCCATTTGACCATGGACTATAAGGTGAAGTTGTAACCAACTTGATTCCAAACTCTTTTCCAAGGTCCTTCGTCGCTTTAGAGAGAAATGATGCACCACAATCAGATATAATTTTCTTAATTTTACCAATGAATGGATGAGATCTTAAAAAGAGCACGAAAGAAGAGGCATCTTCTTTCATCGGTATGGCTTGACATAGTCTTGTGGCTTCATCTACAAGTACTAAGAAAGATTTAGTTCTCGCTGAGCCCTCTTTTTTCTTAGTAAGTTCACCATAGTCGACGTGAATAACTTCGAACATTATTTGTGAGTGCTCAGGAAGGATCATCAAATCTTGATTCTGTTTCAGTTTTGATTTGACACGTTGACAAACGTCACAGGTACGAACATAATCAACTATGTCATCTTTCATTTTAGGCCAGGTGAAGCGAGCAGAAATTTTGTGATAAGTGCGTGAGATTCCATCATGGCCTCCAGAGTAGGGATCGTCATGATATGCTTCTAGTATTGCTTTGACTTTGTCTGGTGATACTTCCATTCTCTTTTTTCCTTCGCAAATGTTGATAAAATTAACAACTGGGATCTCAGGACAGAGTCTTGATAGGGCATCAGCGTCTGTCAACTCTCGACCTGATCGATGGTTGATTGTCAAATTGAAACTCATTAAGAAAGTCTGCCAACGGCCTAGTCGGTTCTTTGGTTCCTTCAGAGATAATAGATGAGAGAGCGCTTGATGATCACTATTGACCTTAAATTCTTTTCCTTCCAAATAACTTCGGAAATACTTGATGGCTCTGATCACGGCCAGGCACTCCTTCTCGGTAGTCGAATAATTCAATTCTGGTTTGGTAAAGGTATACGAGTAATAACCAATTACTCTTAGTTGTTTATTACGAGGTTGATTGAGATCTCGTTGATATAGTATTGCTCCGGTGCCGTAGTAAGAGGCATCGCAAGAAAGTTCAAATGCAAGCGTCCAGTCTGGTACACCAAGTATGGGGTTCTCACTGATTAACTTTATGAGTTTTTGGTATGAGAGCTCACATTGAGCGCTCCATTCAAAAGGCACATCTTTTTGTTTCAACTTATCAAGAGGTCGAACAATATCAGCGTAGTTAGGTATGAAAGACCTAAAGTGTCCGGTTAAGCCAGTGAAACATCTTAGGCTATGTAAGTCGGAAGGTTTTCGCATTGATTTTACTCGTTCGACGGATTCAGATCTAGTCGTCTTTGTAAAGCCATCGATGACACGGCCAAGAAAGATAATACTTTTCGCACAGAAAACACTTTTCTTCTCGTTGATTTGAATGTTGTTTTGAGATAGCTTTTTGAGAACTCTAAATGAGAGCTCAGCACAATCTCTCTCTGTTTTACCACCAACACAAGTATCATCGATATAGACAGCCACTTGGTTGGTTTGCAAGAGTTCATAGAGTACGGCAACCATTTTCCTTTGAAAGATTGGAGGTGAATTTTTCCAACCGAATG